CAAGGATTCGAAAGGATGCTTGCAGGATGTTCGGTCGGAAAACGTAAACAAACACTTGTCCAAGGCTAGGTTTTCGAGAGATTTCGGTGGTTAGTTCTCCAGTGTTTCTCGAGCTTTTCGCATTGCGCAGAAGCGCTCTGTTATCCTGTTTTTCCGAGCTTTTCGTGACGTCACAGGGACGCCGCCAAAACGACGCTCGAGCCAAATGCCAAGGACTCGAGCTCAGTGCCGTTCGAGAAATTCGCCAAGTGAGACGTTCCAAGCGCCTGAATTATTCGCCATATATCCTTCGGTCTCTCTCGCTCTCTCCTTTCTGAGAGTGTGTGCGTGGGCCGTCGTGTGTGTGCGTGTGTGAGTGTCAATAAAATCAACAAGAGCGTGGCCAAAAAACTTTCGACCAGAGCGTGTCCAACAAATTAGAAAGCCAGCTAGAGGAAAAAAAGATAATAAATAAGAAAAACCGACATTGACTCCAACTTGGCCACGTGCTGTGCACTGCTTGTTTTCCCAGCCAGAATCCGAGGTAAATTTTCCCAAAACAAACAGCAAAGACACAGCATCGCCCCAAAACAACAACACAGAGCGGAAAACAATCGAATTTTCGCGTGGGGGGAAAAACCACCATCACCGCCAGTGAAATTCGGTCAATATTTGTGCAAGTGTGCGTGAGGCAGGGAAATTTTTTGGCATTTTTATGCTGCGACTGTTGTTTGTGTGGGCAAAAATAAGGAAAATAAAACGGAAAAGCGAATTGGAAAAATCTGTGTCAGTCACGAATTACGCACTATCTCCCAATGGGATTTTCGGGCCACTTGGGTTTTGTGAATGAATAATCAAAGTGCTTGCACATATTTTTAAACCGATTTGCGCCTGTGCAAATCTTTATTAATTTCCGACTGGTGTTTTTACTAATGACAACACCAGTAATTGACGCCAGACACGACAGCCATTTAAATACACAGCGAGAAATTTCGATAATAATTTGTAACTTAAAATAGAGGAGGTTTAATCAGTAAAAGAAAGAATGTTTTAAATTATCGTAACTTTAATTTAGTTCAGTTACAGATTAAATTAAATTTCAAGAGAATATGCCGACGCTTTAAATTATTTAGTTAAAAAATATATTTTTGAATACTTTGGAAGTGGCTATGAAACCTCTTAAGTACATTTATTTATTAATTAGGTTTATTACCGAAAAAAATCTATATTCATTTGTATGATCGAATGGTATATTGTAGTTTTTTAAGTAAAAAAGTACTGCTTTAAAAACGGTGGTTGGGGCTTTCAGTTTTCAAGAAATCAAAGCCATATGGGTCAAAAGTATGCCACCTGGCTGAATAAATCAAAAGGGGCTGGCAACAAACCGCGGGGGGTAAATGTTGCACATTACGTGAGCTTCTACCGCGACTATACGTTACGCATACGCCATGTGGGCCCCCCGAAGGCAGCAAAGGCTACCTACAGTGCGTCGCGTAATAAATGGCACGACAATAACTCACGGCGAACAGGAAGGGGGTGGAAAGGGGGTGGCACGGGATTTGGGGGCCAACAGAAGGGGTAACGTAGCAGAATAAGGCCGGCTTGTGACCAGGAAAGTCGCAAACTGAAAGCTATTAAGGCAAAGGACTTAAAGACTTTTGCTACCCACCGCTCCCTCTGTATTTTCCCATCCTTCCTCCTGCAAACACACACACGCATCCGCTTCCTGCCACAGGGAAAAACAACGAAAACTCACTTAGCTGGCCTGACTCAGCCTCTCTTTTCGCCAGACTCACTTGACATGCTCTTAATACCAAATAAAAACACGAGCTCAAGGACGTTGAGGAAACACTCCGTTCCACTTTTGCAGTTCGAGTAAGGCCACCTCAGTCAACCCCCCGTGATGTGTAAATTTTTAATGTTGCCAAGACCCCCAAATGTAGGTTATCAAATTGTGTTCAAGTTGTCTTCGCCGAAAGCCCCGGAGAAAAAGTTTGCCTGCTGCAAAACATTTTAAATGATTTTGTTGTCGGCGGTTGGTTGTTTTTTGCCACACTTCCTTTTTTCCCCGCCTTGCGACCCCCCTGCCAATTGGGTCAAGCATTTACATTTCACGCCTAGTGAAAAACTCAGCCAAAACTATGCCACGCCCCCTTCGAGCAGTGCACTACTCATCCGTTGTGTTAAACACGATCTCTCCATCGCCTGGTAGCTGCATCTATTTAGCCAAATTAAAAACACAAATTCAACTGCGCTCTGCCGGCTGCCACTAATTAATTGCAAACTAAATGAGTTTCTCGGCATAAAACTTTATCCACAGCAAAGCTGATTGCTGTCAGTTTTGTGGCCGACGGAAGGGGAATGCTGGCGCTGTAGATTGCAGTGAAATCGGTTGGCAAACAAACTGGTAGATGGCGGAGATGGCTGGTTCATGTGGCTACCCTTTTCTGGAGGAGCGGCCCTTGCACAGAGTGTAATTTGCGTTGCTCACACACATTCCTCTCGCTCCATCGAAGTTTTCTGGCCGAGAAAGGAGGCGAATCCATCGAGTCATACAGGAAATAGGGGCTAAAAGCAAGTGTAAAACGGTCAACACACTGGAACATTTTTTGTACTACGAATAGAAAATTATAAGAAATCCAGCAATCAAATTAAAAATTATTAATAAATAAAAAAATATTGGCATATTTATATAATTGTATGTTTTTCTGTTACTATACAGAAATTTAAGTATTTTAGGGCCGGTTTCTCGAGTCCCTGTCAAAGTCCCTGATAGCTATCTGTTCGAAAAACTTAAATACCAGATAAACTGTTCGTAAAAGCAAATCCGCTTTCTCGACTGCTTTAATTTATCTGAACGAGAAACAATTACAGAGTGCTGTTAACGCACAGAAAATGGCGTGCTTCGATTATTTCATCAGCTGTTTGGGTATATTTCAAGGGAAAAGTCAGCTGTGATTTCGTTTCTTATTCTTAGTTGGCTTTGGGAAATCAGATGTCAATTCTATCGAGCCGAAAACGCTTAACAGGGACTCCGAGTCCCTGTCAAAGTTAGCTCTCACATTTATGCTCGAGAAAGCCAAAATGCCTTAGCAGGGACTTTATCTGTTCGAGAAATGTTAGCCGGCACTCGAGAAACCGGCCCTTAGTAAACTCGATGTTATTTTAAGATTCTTGTACTCACTAGGGATTGAACCTCGGTCTTCTTAAGATTAGAAAGTTTCGGTAGGTCGTCAAGTTTAATATTTTTTAATAATGTTTTAAAGATTACACTCGTTTTTTTAGGGAACGAAAGCTTTAAGAATTTAAATGTTTTTTTCTTTAGAAATCAGATTGCTTTTCGCTGTATATGAGTCATCATGGTGTCACGAGTCACACCATTGGATATGCAGAGGGCAATGAAGTTAGCCTTTCGGAAATAAAGTGTTCGCTTGCTGATAATCCAATTGAATGCTGGCAAGCGGAAGGCATCCAAGCTCAGATCAAATGGCCGGGACAGGAGCTTAATGACCGCTGTCAGGATGGACAGGACGAGCAGTCACTCATTCCAATTGTCCGGTCAGTGAACCGTTAAATTCCCACTTCGCGTGTGCGGCGTATTTGATTTCGATGACTGCCCGCGGCGTGAATCTGTTAATTCAACTTATTAATTTTCATTGAATTCCCCCCGCCCGTCACTGTCACTGCCAATGTCAATTGTCACCGAGTTGTGGCGCCCCCGGGTGGACATCAACATTTTGGCGTGGATCGATGTGGTCTGTGGTTAGTGTAATCAAATCTGCTTGAAATATTTTGCTCAGCACAAATACTGCCTTAATTTGCTTGCATTTTGTATGCCAATTTTAAATACCAACATACCGAAGCTTGTTGCCCAGTTGTTTGGAAAATTCATTTAAATATTCCTTCTCAAGTTTCTGATTTATTTCCACTTAAATCAAGCCTAAGTCCCGATGTATCGAATAAAAAATTAATAAATATATTTATTGTCTTAAAAGAATGGGCAATAAATTGCAAATATTTTGCCAACTATTTCGAGATCGTAAGCCACAAACGCACACATGGGACCCGGACCCTAATAAAATCCAATTTATGAAGCATGCTTCTCAGGGCAATCGCCCGCCCAGCTCCGACCTGCTATTACTTGACTATACCCATACGGCCAGAGAATCACATTGAAAGCCCTAGAGTTTAATTGAATGCGAAGGCAACTGCATAAGCGGCGTCACCAGCAGGCCACAAATCAAATAAGTTGGGCGAAAACAGGTCAAGTGCTTAGTCTGAACTTCAAGCTGGCTCAAACTGGTGACTGGTGACTGGGAGCTGGAAGCTGCTAACTGGGAGCAAGATGCTCCTGGACAAAGGGAAAGCACTAAGTTGGCCACCAGCAACACGCTCCTTTGACTCGTGATGTGTGTGCAGATGTGACCAAACATACACACATTCCCACTCATCTGCTGACGTTCAGTTGAGTGCACATAATCGGGATCTGGCTTTGAGGTAGGAAGCCGAGAAAGCAGAAAACTCTACGAAAATCCTTTCAAACCGCCGCCCACTTTCCACTCGACGAGTCTCTCGGGCGGCGGCTAATTTGTTCAGCTTCGACACAAATTGTAACTAATTTTACGTACTCAACTTTGTGCCTTTCATTCCAATGCAAATTGCCGGACAACCTGGACAAACTTAAAGCCCCCAAAAGTTAAGTCATAAAAACGGGCTTGTTCGAAAGTTGACAAGCGATTTTCTGCAACTAAACTATGTCGATGGCAGACTTGAGCGAGAAGTGGAAGTTTGACAAGCGCTGCGACAGGCAAAACTTTCTAAGCGGAAAATGGTGTCTTCCATACACAAAGGAAAATGTCTGAAGCATGTGGAAAAGAAATACTGATAATGAAGTTTAAAAGTGCATTTATATAATACGAATAGGCACTGCAAGAATTTTTTATATTTAGGAGATATATTTAGATTATCCTTTAGCATCCTTATATTAGTTTTCGAATTTTTTTAAATTACTTGAGATTTACTTATAATCTGATATGTTATTTGTGAACTTTTCCCCAAAACTGTGAAATAGTGCTGGCGTTCCTGGCCTCATAGAGATGGTTCAGCTTCCTGAGGAGCTTCTCCTTCTTGACCTCGTCCTTGCGCTCCTGAACCTTCTGATTGTGAACGTTGAGGTTCCTCAGACGCTTCGATATCTGGGCCGTCCGCTTTCGCACATGCTCGTCCATGTCGCGAGTGATGCGATCCCGGGCATCCAGCCAACTTTGGGTGGTTTGCCTATGGTGGCGATCCGTGATCAGCGCCACTCGCGCCAGGCGAACGGACAGCTGCTCCACCTTTTGCTCGCCCAGCCAATTGCGACGCTCATCCGCCGCCTCCAAGCGCTGCTCCTGGGGGCGTGGCGGGGGAGGAGGGGGGCGGTATTTGCGATGCAGATCACTGGGCGGATCAGTCCTTACAGGATCCGCGAAGTGCACATAAAAGGACGATTGGCGGGGCCCACGCCAGTCCATGGGATTACTCATAATTTGGAAAACTGTATCGACTAACTTTTTGACAAGGCCCAAAAGTTAAAGGACCAAAAAATAACACTGCCACTAAGTCAAATGCTTGCTGTGATTTTAAACATTAAAAATTCAAGGAGTAGAATTAAAAGTAAACCCACAAGGAGTTACAACATTTTCATCTGCCTATTTGTGTCTTATATTAATTATATTTATAAAAAAGTTTATTAGGGAATTTAACACCACATAAATATGTAATTATAAAAAACTGTACAAATTACATGAGGACTAACAGGTAAAACTAATATTTTAGTAAAAAAAAAACTGTAATAATGCTTAGAATAATCATGCAACTAGAGAATAAAATCCTAAAAGTTGCCAGGGCAGCCATAGTTTTCCATTCGAAAAAGTGCACAGGTATTAAAAAAGGCAACTTAAAAAGCATGTTAGCAGTTTATTTAGTAGACCCCCTTTCGGTTGCCGGGGTTAAGAGGACCTCATCTATCTGCGGCCTGTCCGTGTGCAACATAAATACCCATTCAGTCCGCCAACAACGTCGCAACCTGACCAAACTTCATCTGTGTTCGTGGCACGGATGTAACGCAAAAGTTGCTTGTTATTATTATGATTAAAGTTTGTGCTGCTAGTGTGGCCCACACCACATTAGTGTGGCTGCCACGCCCAGAAACAACCCGCCTCCGCCCCCTTATTTTACCACCTGGCTTTGCTGCTTTAATATAAATGTTTGTGGTTTCGTCGTCAAGGTGCTTTGGAATCGGCTTTAAGTGCGGGGTCGGTCGCTTCTGTTGGCCAAAGCCCGGCGTATATGTACTCCGTATACGTAAACATATGCACATAGGTGCTCTATCGCTCGACCCCAAACATCCATTCGGATCATGGGTTTTTAGGCGAGATTGTAAGAAAAAACATGAAGCCAAAACATGACCGCAACATATTTTGCTGGTCATCCTTTGTTGTAGTTGGTCTTAAAACGGATTAAACTTAAAGTATTTGCGTGGAACGGGGCTGGTTTTTGGGGTTTCAGCTGGCAGGGCTAAAAACATGTATGGATAATACTAGATGAGCTGAGTGAGGGGTGAGTCAAAATAAAAGAAGATTGAAATCCTTTAAAAATAATCTTAAAACACCAGTGGTTTCTATATCTTTTATTTCTCCCCTGTGCGTTTTTGTTTTTTTGTTTTCCTTTTGATTTCGAAACTGTAATGTGTTATTTTTCTGGTCAAACGGTAGAGTGCATGTCATGTCACCTTTGCTTTCCAACCGGTTAAAGTTACGAGTACCTTGTGGGGTGGTTTTGCGCCCGGTGTCACGTGCTTCAAGCCCAGTTAACAGCTGTCACTCCGCCCCACAGAGAATCCGCTTGGAGTTGCGAGCTTGAGCTGTAATTTAACTTTTACCTTAGGAACAGCTGGCTGTAGTTGTAGTGACAACTGCAGCAGGAGAACTGCGAACTACGAACTACGAACTGCAAACTGAAAACTGGGAACTGAGCGTTGACATGCAACGGCCACCAAAAAAAAATAAATGGAGGTTTATGGCTGGCTTGGCCTACATGCAAACAACCAAGCCCGCCGGGGATTCAAATCCAAAGCTCTCAGTTTTTATGACCATTTTGTGGGGAGACCCAAATTAGTTGAGGGGCAGAAAAAACAGATGCATATCCAAAGGCGCTGACTGAAAATTCCCATTTCTGTTTACTTACAGGACAACTCGTAATTGAATGGAAGATTGAAGCGCGAGGAAGTGAGAGGAACAGCTAGCTTAGCGTACGTATTGACCCGATCTACGCGTTTCTAGGGCATAACACAGGGAAAAAATGTAGCATAGTTCATGTAGAAGTTTTTCACATTTGAGTTAAAACCTAAAAATTTAACTACAAAAAATCATATAATCTTAAGAAGTTTGAGAAGATTTCCTTTAGGTTTAGGAAGTAGAAACAAAATTTGAACTTATTTGAGGAATATATCTCTCATAAGGGGGCCTCAGATATCAAAAAGGTTTTGAAAAATCTTATAAAATCACCTAAAAGTATGCACCAAAATCCGGAAGTGCAATAGGTTTGTTAATTTTTCAGTTCATACTTTAGACACCTTACCCTAAATCATAAAATCACAGGTTAAGATGATATCTTGAGGGCTTTTTTTAGATTCTAATAAAGAAATTAATTGTGCTTTACTTTTTTCTCTGTGTAGTGCTACATAAGTCAGAATGTTTGAGCCTCGATTAGTTCAGAGTGGTGGCAGTTGAGGCGCCCAGCAGAGAGCACGAGAACGTCCTTCCCGCCCACTCGCACGCCCCTTTCGTTCGTTGAGTTAGTGGGTGTGTGTGTCTGTGTGTGAGCGAGCCCGAGTGGTGCGTCGGTGTGTGTGCGATAGGTGCCCGCGTTGGTGGTGGTTAGCATGCAAATCAACGGTCTAGCTGCCGGACCCACGATGGCAGCCTCCGAGCCACCAGAGCCGCCGCCGCGCAATCCGGACCGCATAAATGCCTCGCTGCACAAGCTGGGTGAATCCGTAAGTACAATCCGTATGCACCACCCCCCTCCGCCAGCCATCCCCGATACTCTCTTTCGAACCCCACCCAACCATCCGCACCACAAAAAAGAAAAAACGAAAATTCACTTGATGTTTAACCTAATTGGGCCTCATTCATTGCTTGGAAACAGATTGCATGCCCATGCCCCGGGGCCCCCACCTTCACCCACTCTACTTCCCACACTTTTTTTGGCGCACCACTTCATCTTGCTCCACTGGTCTCGAGCAAAAACAAACTGAAATCTCGATAAAATTACCCATTCTGCATCCCTCATTGAATAATTGACATCTCTGGGCTCCACATATTTCTCTATCTCTCTCTTTTGCTATTTCCCCCTTTGCTATGTGACTTTTGCTATTTCTAGGCTTTTGTTTTCCTGATTTTGCAAAATCTTATCTTAGGATAGAAATACTAAAAATCACTATAATGGGATTAAAAACTTAAATCATTAATCAAATTTCAAAGAACTAAATTATTGGTTTACCTTAAATAAATGTAAGATTAAAGAAAATAATCGTTCTAATCTCTCAAAAGAATTTCTAAACTATGAAATGATTTTGCAAAGTGGGTTTCGGCATAGACACACAATATTTCTCTTTTTTCTCTTAACTGCTTAACTTATTTAAAGATTACGAGTGATTAAAGACAAGTTTCTTGTGCACTTAAACCTTTGCAGAAAGTCGCCAAATCCCTGGACGCTTCGGTGACGACGGGTGTGAGGGAGAAATCCGCCTTCGTGAACAATAACAAGCCCATTAGACCGCTGTTATCGCTGGACAGCTCGGTGACGGCTTCGACATCCTCGGGGGCAGTAGGAGCAACAGGATCCGGGGGCGGCGGAGCCCCAGCCAAGCCATCACCTTTGGTCCTGGCCTCCAAGCGAGACCTCACGCCAAGCAACGACAGCAGCTCATCGCCGTCCAGTTCGAATGGCAGCAACCAGACGCTCACCCCACCCATGACCGCTGATAATCAGCCGCTCCAGCAGCAGTTACAGCACCACCAGCACCGGAGTCCTGCGTATCCTGGCAAGGCAGACGTGGCAGCAGCAGCAGTAGGAGTGCCCCAACAGCAACAGCAGCAATTGCCGAATGGCAACGGCAGCAGCCACTGCAACAGCAACAGCAGCACAGCCATGATCCATGCGAATAACTCGAATTTAATTGCCGCAGGTCACTTGGCGCAGGCAGCTGGCCCCGCCCACAACGCCCCCTCCAGCGGCAGTGCACTCAATGCCGGTAAGTTTGCGGGAGAAGGGGGATACTTCTGTTTGTGAAATGGGGAGATTCGTACACAGGAAAAAAACCATATTTAAAACCATTCAAGTTTATGTTTATGTTATTTTACGACTGAGATAACCTTGAAAGTCATTTAAAAGTGTTTTAATTTTGTTTAAATAATTTTAAAACTGAATTGTTATTTTACGGAACACAATATATTGCTTTTATAATCAGTTTCATAAAATGTTTTGAGCCAAAATAATTTTAAATCAACCGAAAATTTAATATATTAGCAGTTCAAATTCCATATGTATTTTCCCTATAAAAATCATTTTGTATCGTAGAATTCAGAGATGACTGCATCTAAAATATTTTATTTTTATTTAAATAACATTCAAGCTTACTAAGCTTTTTGGCCAGTGTATGCAAATGCATTTGTAATGTGTAAACGCCATGAAGCGAAGGGGGGGTTGCAATCAGCAGATTGCTGCGGGCAAAGAAAAAGGGGTGGCAGGGGGATCGGGCACTATAGCAAGGGGCAGGGGCAGGATCTTTGCGGCATGAATGAGCAAATGCATAGTGGCCACTGTGGAAATGGCGAATGGGAGCTGGCCAGAGAGGAATTAAATCAGCTTCCCTGATTGAATCCTTTCAACCTGTACGCTGATTTATTTCCACCTCGCAGCTGGGTAAAAAATTAAATCGCATTTGTGCTATTTCAAAATAATTGTTAAAGAATTTGAAGGCTTCGCCAGGGGGTAACAAATAGAATGTGGTTTGGTGGCAAGGGAAATGGCCAGTTTCCAGTGGCAACCAGATGTTAAGAGCCACCAGCTTATACTGGACAAAACAACTCGGTATCAGCATCATGAAAAACAGGCATGATACGGAGGATGAGGAGGTGGCTTAGGAATTTCAGGAGATGCGACCAGAGTGGCTTTTTTGCTGGTGGTCTTTTGGGTTGGCCAACGCATCGGATTATAACAGAATGGCAGAGTGATGTACACTTCAAAAATCTGACAAATGGATGGTAATGGCCTTCGTCCGTCCGTTGGTCCGTCTCTCGGAACTGCAAGCACCCCATTCCGAGATCCTCTGACCCATCACTTTGAGTGCTGCAGCTGGAAAGTCAACGAAGCAGATAGGCGGGGTCATCCCGGGAAAAGGTGAAAGAGTGGGTGGATACCAAAGTGGTTGCGGTCGAGTTGGGTTTCCAAAACTTAAACGTTGCAACTTAAACGGGCAGTGATTCAGCCACTTGAATTTTAGGACTTGGATAAAAGTAAACTCTTCAGTTTGTTTATTTATATATGCATTTGGTAAACAATCGCAGCCATTCATTTTCATTCTGACCTCAATTCAAATATGCATTTTTTTGTTGCCTTTCATGCGCCGCATTAAATGCTAATTAAATTTTAATTTAAATCCTTGGCCATAAAATAAATCCATGTTGACAATCAATAAGCAGAAAAAACTGCAAAAAAAGATGGTCCATCCGCGAGGGGATTTTATGAGTTTGTGTGTGTGAATAGCGATTAAGCTGCGTGGGTGTGCGTGTGTTTGCGCAATCAATTTAGGCTCATCATCCGTCATTCACATGGATGAATCCTGGGTGTCCTGTATGGCGGTAGATAGATAATCAAATTGTCCATCTCATAAATGCATTCCCATGAATTCATTGTTATTGCCATTTCTCGTCGACTCGTTTGCATTTAGATTAATGTTCCCAAAAATCAATATTAATTCATTTCCATGTTCGACTGCAATAATTGTTGTTTATTTACTTTTCAATCCTATTTGTCCGTTTTCGATGGGAGAAAATCTAATTTCGAGTCCTGCACGACCCCCTGTTTTCCACCTGACAGGATTATACACCCCACTACATGTTCATCGGCCCCATTACCATTATCATCATTTGTTGGCATTGTTCTTATACTTGCTATTGCTGTTGTGGTCGTTGTTTGCCCATGCTGTTTATTTGTTTTGTTTGGAACTACTTATTGGGTCAACCCGAATATGTTTGCCTACCCCAACCTATCAACCTATCAACCAACCAATCAGCCTACCCCATCTATCAACCAACCTACCTACCCCGAAAAACCCATTCTATATCTGTGTATCTGTATCTGAACAACGCCGAATCCAGTCGACAAGCGAAATGCCAACCTATCGGAAACGGATCAGGAGGCGCCCTCAAAACTGAATGTAAATCCGAATCTGACCCTGGGAGCCCCGCACTCCCCCACATCCGCCGCCTCGGCGGCCTTGCTCCTCCTCGAGCTGCCATCGAGCTGCGATGGAAATCGCAACGACGAGTCAAGGTTCCACCACCTGCATTCCGCTCCCCCAGGTAAGTCGATCAATCTATTTTCCCTCCTCTTTTCGCTTTCATCTCAATTTCCGCTCTGTATTTTTAATTGAGGCAGCAGCAATCACAATTAACCCGCATCCCAAAACCCACCCCCTTCCCCATTTATATGTACGTAGCTCGCCCACAAAGTAGTTGCACTTGATCTCCATTCATCCGCTTAGTGCCTGCCGATTCATTGCTCTGGCCTGGTTAAGTTATAATTGCACTGGATTTTAGTTCGCCTGCAAAACTTTGAATGCGTTTTCTCTTTTCTGTTCTCAGTTTTCATTTCTCATTTTGCATATTAAATGCCAGTACTCTGGCACCAGCTGGTGTGCCTTAGTAGCCATCAGTTCCTTAGTTTCCTTAGCTCTTTTTTGATTTCTTTGCCCGAGAAATGGGTCGGTGAAAAAGTGTATAAACTTCCCGGGATTGGGAAATGGTAGTGGGTGGCTAGAGGACGACATTTATGCTAATTATGAGTAGAATATCGATGAGCAGGCATGCAAGCTAGTAAGTAGTTGTTGGCTTACAAATGGCAAATGACGCAGAACAATCTGGGTCGCTTTAGAAAATTTTAATGAACTTTTAATATTTCACCGAAAGTCATCTCAAATCTAAATTTTAGAAAAAAACTTGAATTGGTTTCGTTCTGCAGAGTTAAAAAAATTGATTACAGGACTTTCGAAAAATAAGAAAGCACTTTAATCGCTTATTCACAGAATTTTCTATGATTTATATAAGTCATGTATTATTAACTAAAAACAAAAAAAAATAGAGTCACCTGTACGCTTGCAGCGCTAGGATATTAAATCAATAATAAATTAAATAATTGAAACTATGAAAATTCCTTAAGAAAACAAACCTTTTAATTCAGTGTTGCTAACATATTTAGGAATTGAAAATATAAGCTTGCTTCCCTGGCTTGCATTCCTGCTACGATTACGATCACCGCTTTTCCGCAGCTTGGTAGCTGTAGCTGAAACTCCTGGCCGCGGCATTAACCCTTTTGGCCTACTTTAAAGCCCCCTTTTTCGTTTGCAGAAGCTGCCATGAAGCTGCGCGATGAGAACGATCGCCTGAATGCCGAACTGCTGCGATTGAGGCGACTGCTCGAGCTCTCGACCGATGGAGCAGTGGGCGGGGTGGACACCAGTGCCGAACTGGAGGCGGCGGCAGCCTCAGGATCCGCCGAAGGATCTGCTGCCAGGGAGCGCATCGAACGCCTGGAATCGGAGCTCAGGTCGGTGAAGAACCAGCTGCTGACCATGCGGCTGGAGCGGAAGAAGCTGCGAACGGACAAGTCCGATCTGCTGGGCCAGGTGAAACAGCTGTGTGCCTCGCTGCAGGAGAAGGAGCAGGAGCTGCGCGACTTCATCCGGAACTATCAGGAGCGGGTGCGGGAGACGGAGACGACGAATGCCAAGATCTCCGGGGATCGGGATCGCGAGCGCTTCCAGCTGCTCAAGCAGGCCCGCGACGAGGCGGAGCGTTCGCTGGCCCTGGCCCAGCAGCTCTCGGCCCGGGATCTGCAGCTCCAGAGGCTGCAGGAGCAGCTGCAGGAGGCCCGCCGCCAGCTGACCGGCTGTCTGTCGGACCAGGAGAGCCTCCACTCCTTTGCCCCACTCACCCCGCCGTCGGCCGCCTCGGGAATGCTCAGCCAGATGGCCGCCGCCTCGGGAATGGGCGGTGGCCTGGCCGGAATGCGGGGCACTGGCGCTGGCGAGGACAGTGGGCGTGGCAACTCGCTGTCCGCTTTCAGCGGCAGCTTGAGCGGCGGATCCGGGGCCACGGCGGGCGATCGCAACTCCTGCTCGAATGACTCTGGTTTGAGGAACAGCAGCGATCGGGAGAGCACCGGCGGGGAGCTGAACTTCAGCGATGGCACCTGTGACAACGGACCCTGCATCACCGTCGATCCGGACAGCATCTCGCTCGTGTCCAGCCAGAATATGTACCAATGTGAGTGGGATGGTGATGAACGATGAACGATGAAAATACCCTGTAATCACACTTTTGTTTCAGTTGGCACGCCCAAGGAACGCAGCCCCACATTGTCGCCCCTCAATTCGGCTGCCTACTCAAGGTATTTTTGAAGGAGAATTTATACTAGACTAGATTCTGTTCTTAATAATTAAACATTTTTAAAAAATTAAGCTGAAAGACGGTTTTAAAATTATTACCATTAAAATACACATGACAACGCACCTTTTAGGCATGTTTATTTGCATTGCAAATTATTTTGTCCAACTAAGAGTTGCTTTACACAATGTGTTTCATTTAATCTCCGCCATTTCGGGGCTTTAATTAATTCCATGTGGAGCTACAAATACGACTGAAACCAAATTAAATGATAAATGGGAGCTAAAGTTACATGCCGCGCTTGTTATACTTTCTGCACAAACTTGTATTTGCATTTGGGGATTTTGTAAAATTCGAACACTGATAAATTTATCTTTTTAGTATAATTAAAAGCTAAAATGTCATTCTTTTTGTATGGTGTTAAAATTTCAATGAAATTTTGCCGTAATAGGAAATTAAAACTTAGATTTTTTAACCATGCAAACAGATCCGTGGAGCAGTTGGGCTCACCTGTGGACCCCGAGGGACCAGGAGGCGGCGCCATCAGTCGAAAGTTCGCCAATGCCAGCAAAAGTGGGCCGCTGGGCGCACGAAATGGGCGTGGCGGAACTTGGGGAAGTATATCACGGGTGTTTGCCCGCTCGCGGAATAAAAGCAAGGCCCTGTCCGCCGATGGAGTGACTGAATGTGAGTACCGAAGCTGAAATAAATTGTGAGATGATTTAAAACGTAAATGTTTTAATTTTAATGGATGATTTCTGATTAATTTGTTATGATATTAAATTGTTTTATCACTAAGACTTTTAATTATTTGTCAACGATTGACTTTGGCAAAGAATTTTCGACGTTTTTTTTATCCATTGCGATTTTTATTAATTTGGATTATATTCCAAATATTATTAATATTATTTTTTGAATCTTAAATATACTTTTGTTTTAAATATTACGTTTATTTGTTTAATTTAGATAAGTGGTACAAATCTTTGAATTCCATATATTATATTGCAGAAATATATTTATCAAAATTATTATAAAATGGATAAAAAAAAAAAAAAATATAAAGAAAGAAAAAAAATAAAAAAAAGGATAATAATTCGTATCCCCTTCCAGATGCCGACTACTCGTGGAATCCGCTGACCGAGGAGGGCTACGCCGAGAAGCTGCGCCTGCTGCGGGAGGCCTCCCAGCTGCCCATCGACCGCTGGCGGGCCACCCAGGTGCTCGCCTGGCTGGAGGTGGCCCTGGGAATGCCCCAGTACAGCGCCCGGTGTGCCGAGAACGTTAAGAGTGGCAAGGTGCTGCTGGAGCTAAACGACGTGGAGCTTGAGGCGGGCCTGGGCCTCGCCCATCCGATGCACCGCAAGAAGCTGCGACTGGCCATCGAGGAGCAGCGGCGGCCGGAGATGGTGCGCTACCCGCTCATCACGCAGCTGGGCCACACCTGGGTGGCCACCGAGTGGCTGCCGGACATCGGACTGCCCCAGTACGCGGAGCCCTTCGTGCAGTCCCTCGTCGACGCCCGCATGCTGGACACGCTCTCCAAGAAGGAGCTCGAGAAGTTCCTGGGCGTCACGCGGAAGTTCCACCAGGCCAGCATTGTTCACGGTACGGTTTATTTAATTTTCATAGAAAGTTTAGTGTTAATTTAATTGGTCAACTAGAACGAAAATTAAAGTGTATATACCAACTTTCACACATATAAGAAGAATTATTAGGGATTTTTAGCCAACAAATACAGCTGAACTTGAACTTTTCGAACTTTTAAACTACCTATTTGCTGACATATCAAGCAAATGAAATAAACAGCAGGGTTTTTAAAATCTATTTTAAATGTCAAAACAGGTGTCTAAAAGTATGCAACAATATATGTTAAGCCCAAAAGCGTTATGAATTCATATAGGAGACAGCTATTCTTTATTCTCTGCATACTTTTAGACACATATTTGGGCTTTTAAAGGTGATTTTAAAACGCTAGCTATTTCTGTTGCACCCTTATTGTTTAATTTTTAGTTTCTACATTTTTTATATATCTTAATATACACTTTAAGAATTTTAATAATGGCAAAATAAACCTAATGAATGAGGGAAATGGTTTTCGAAATGTTTATAAAAGTCAGACATAATTTGTTAATGATTTAAAATGGAAAAATGAAGTAGTAATTACTGGACCCTCTCTTGGCAAAGCTTTTAACCTAATCAAATGCCAATTCCCTTCAATCCTGCACCTCGACAGGCATCCACGTGTTGCGCATCGTGAAGTACGACCGACAGACGCTGGCCATGAGACGGGTGCAATCGGAGACGGTGGACACGGACCCCATTGTGTGGACGAACCAGCGCTTCATTCGCTGGGTGCGCTCCATCGACCTGGGCGAGTACGCCGACAATCTGAAGGGTGAGTGCGGCATATCGATTGCTCTTTGATTATGTGCCATTCAGTGCAGCAATTAAGGGGGTATTCTTTGGCCCGTTCTAATCCCGATTTCACCCACCTGCAGATAGCGGCGTGCACGGCGGCCTTGTGGTCCTGGAACCGTCCTTCTCTGGCGACACCATGGCCACCGCCCTGGGCATTCCCCCTCGAAGAACATAATACGGCGACATCTCAACACGGAATTCGATGCCCTCATTTTGCCCGCACGGTAAGTTTTGAGGGGCTTAGCGACCCCACAGACCCCGAAGACCATCTAGATAACCCTGTGTGTGCGTGTGTGTTTGTGAGTTGTGAGTGTGCTATGTGTGTGCCCCGTGTGTGAGTGTCCTTTGTGTAATCCCTCGGGTTTTTGACATGTGAATTGTGAAAACATAAGTATGTAGCGTAATACAGCGTTTTGATTAGAGTTGTCTTTGTTTTGATTGAGTTATTGCCGTTTTGTATTTCAATCCCACAACCCCCCGAGTTTATATGACTTTCCTGTTAACTGGTTTCGTTGTGAGTTTGTGTTCATTTCTGCACCTTTGTGAAGACCATATCGTTTACAGAGTTTTTTGGTTTGGAGTTTGCTAGCAGGAAGTATTTCGTTACTGTGGGAGCTCTGTAGGCTTCATTTCACCATTTGTATAATCATCATCATCATCATCCGAAACATACACTCATAATTCACATTCACATCTGGCTTTTATAGATTTAGTGCTTTGATCATTCGTTTATAATCTGCTTCTTATGTGCATACTATCCATCTATCTTCTTCCACATCCCCAATGAAATGGGGCTGCAGAAATGCCAACTTCTCGTCTCATTAGATGTCATATCATGCGATGTCATATCTGTATCTAAATCTGTCTACTCGTGCATAAGTATGTAAAGGTCTCCAGCCTGTATCTTTAGATAATAATGTACTTTGTTTCGTTGTTGATCATTTGAACGTGTCCTAGACGATCTGTTAAGCAAAATAAAACCGCCCCGTAAAGCGAATCGCACTAATGGCGGCCCTCGTGGCCATGTTTCTCTCTCTTTTCTTTCCCAACCAATACCTCGATCCATGTTTATTTGTATTTTCTACATCCGAAATGCAGATACCTTATTTACTGTCAAATGGAAGAATTTCAAATGGAAGCCTCCAGACAATTGGCCAAATTGCAGGGCCACTAAATAATCCGCACGAACCAAAGAACAAGAAAACGAACATGATAAATAATCAAAAATCAAATGGGATTCATACTGTTGATTTACTTAGCCAAGCTGATGAAGATGATACGATAATAACTATAGGGAGAGAACAATAACTGGAGCACAGCGCTAGTCATTTCGTCATTACGAATAGTTGATAGATTCACCCCAGAATACGTAGAACTACATGTAACCATACCACAATTGAGTGCTTTAGGCAGTAAACTAGGAACGCACACATAAGAAACAAAATAAAACCAGTGTCCAAGCTTTGCATATCCAGATATCGATATTATAACGATACACTCCCCGTGGAGCGCTTAACGTTGCATTTACTTAGGTTGACTTACGAGTCAGGCATTTAATGTAGTAGAATCGTAGAGTTAAGGCTTATGTCAAATGTCATCGAGGAAGGCAGATAGTACTTCGGATATTAATATAGAGCATTGCAAATGCCAAAACACACACCCTTCCACACGAGCGTCTTTCGTCACTAGGCCGGAACACCCAAGTTCTCTGTGATACAGGAGCTGTTTTCAGAGCTCGGTTAGACAGCCACTAAGCGCACAATGGAACCTTGAAGACCAATTACATGACCACACACTCGCACACGAGTCCATGAACACACACACATCTCACATTTCAGTGGTTAGATGATATAGTCCATGTTTGGTGTTGCATACTGTGAAGCGTTCTGAATGAGTTTTGCCCTGCGGTATCGAGTCGTGCTCTTCAAAAGCTTAAAAGTGTTCACTAGATAGTTTTATTATACCCTTGTAGAGGGTATTATAATTTCAGTCAGATGTTTGCAACGCAGTGAAGGAGACGTTTCCGACCACATAAAGTATATATATTCTTGATCAGCACCAATAGCCGAGTCTATCTAGCCATGTCCGTCTGTCCGTCTGTCCGTCTGTCCGTCTGTCCGTCTGTCCGTCTGTCCGTCTGTCCGTCTGTCCGTCTGTCCGTTTCTATGCGAACTAGTCTCTCAGTTTTAAAGCTATCGCGATGAAACTTTCCCGAAGGTCTTCTTTCTATTGCAGGTAGTACATATGTCGGAGCCAGCCGGATCGGACCACTATATCTTAAGGCTCCCAATCAAATATAAGAAAATTCATTGTAACTTTGTAGGAAGTAGGCGTTTTGATTCTTGACTACTTAAAAACAAAATTGAAATAAATCGAAACGCTGAATCTGGAATCCCTGGAACTGCACCGAGTGAGTATTCTTTCATCTACAAGGGTATATAAGCTTCGGCTGGCCGAAGGTAGCTTCCTTTCTTGTTTCGATTGACATAGCTTGCTTATGGCTGCGTAAAATATTTTCTTGCATATTGGAGCAGTTAAAAATGTTGATTTGACCGCAGGGCAATTCCCCTAAGTTAATTTCTTTAAGAAGTCGTTACTTTGGTTTCGCAATTTTGCAACTACAGTGTCAATTGTAAGTAAAACTTGCTTACTAAGTAGCCTATCTCTCTCTATTTCTCACACACACACACATCTACTCAAAAACATACGCAGACACTCGAAAACAAGTTCTATGTATGTGTTATCAATGTTTTTAAGTAGCTTGAACTAGTCTAACCGTTGTCATCTAAATAAGTACCACTGCATACAAATACCTTATCGATACTATGTGTGATTGGAACTCTAAGGCTTAAGAAAAACAAAAACAAAATATTATGGCTGCTGGTTTCGTGTCTGTTAGCAATGCTATTCTTTTTTCTCAAGTTACTTTTCCTTTCCTTACTTTACTATCTTTTCGGGGGTTTTTCACTCACCATAGATCTTTGATTTCTTTGTTGTTTTACGCTACGTGTAGTTTATTGCGCCATAGCGAAGCATACGAAACAAATTAAAAGTAACTCTACAACATTGATTAACCAGATTCTTTCGTCTTTGTCCCGTTTCTTTTTCCATCTTTCCTATACATATTTGATCCACTCTCTTTTGCTTTCACATCCGTATGTTTCCTCTTCAATTTCGTAATTTGGTAATCGAATCGACGGCTTGATGTTGTTGCTAACTCTGCTTGATTGTCTAACACGATTACCAACACAACGACAACAACTCAACAACAACAAACAATCAACAACAAACAATCAACAACAACTCAACAACACCCCAACGAAACCACTTTCTGTGTGTGTATGTGTGCCTGCCTTGCCTGCTCTCTCTCTCTGTCTCTATATCGCTATCTCTGCTGCTCTGCCTGACCAACCGCACTCCATACTCCATTCTCCAAATTCCAAATTCAAATTCCAAATTCAAATTCCAATCTCCAATACTCAACACTCCCGTTATCTGCCGTCTGTGTCCTGTCTTTAATGTGCTGCCTGCCTATGAAATGCCTGCTTGCCTATGAAAATCGAAAATACGTGCACATTCAACCCATCTACAACATGATATATATGATACGCCCGACAACCCGAAAACAACAACCCACTCACAACCACACACACCCACACGCATACGACCTATGCAAAAATTCGCAAATCGAAAATTGCCATGTTTGTTGTGTAGAGCGACTCTGGGTCAGGGCATCCGTTCCGGTTGCGGCGTAGTGCCACTAACGGGACCCGGCGGACTGCAGCACTATGCCACAACAGATCGCCGCTCGAGCGGCAACCTCAGGGTAAGTAGTTCCAACTAACTAGGCACTTGTTCTCCATAGTACTAGCTACAGGCTATAGTCCTATAGTTATTGCCAATTAAGTCTTGAATACGATAATCTAGTGCTGGCCAAAGCATATACTATATACTATGTGTCCTTATCCTGAATTGACGTGAAGCTTTTGTTGTCCTTCGGTGTCTATGTCGCAAATTATTTAAATCCCCAAGGGGAGTCAACGAGCAAGTGTTTTCATCTCACTGAAAGCCTGTTTTGTGGTCTCAAGCTTTCATCCAAATTGAAAATTCAATTTATGATGCATTTATTTTCTGAGGTGCTTGCAAGTAAGTGATATATTTTAGCTCTGAGTGCTGATAAACACGTAGAAAATGAGGAAAAATATTTCACAGCATACTTTTAGGCACCTTAACGCCCTTTTAGAGTGATTTCAAACCTCTAAATATTTACAGATTTAATAGAAACTTGTTAAAACTTAATCATAATCAAGAAAATTGTACAAGTTTTAATTAGTTAATAGGCATCTAGCGACATCACAAGTTTCACGACAGTTCCCTAGCGCACTTTTAGGAGATTAAATAAAACCTATTTAGGCCAATTGAAAACATTAATATTCTGTTTCTTTCCTTTCTTGTACCAAACAGATTTCGGCATGGAAAGGATCTCAGGTGAGATGGTAGACTGCATTCCCAAAGAATCTCTAGTAACGCCACTCTTTCTCCTTGCAGAGCTCCCTTTCTAAAGCCTTTCGGTTCAACAGCAAACCCCATCGCACCGGCGACCGCAGTTCCTTCGGGAACTCCACCTCCCCAACGCCTTCGTACAGCAGCAGCGAGGGTGGCGGAGGAATATACGCAACCATAGGCCACCAGTATCCCAATCCGCACACGAATCCCCAGCAGCAGCACTACCACCACTTCCTGCCGCCTCCGACGACGGCTCCGCCGCCGATTCCCTCGGCTGGCGGCATCTACAGTCACGGTCCGCCGCCCGGCCATCGAGTGAGTGCTCCGCCCGTGGGTGGTGGAGCTCTGGATGCCGGACTGACGGACCCCCAGATGCTGTACGAGCAGAGTCGCCGGCGCGTGAAGAGCATCAGCGATATTGGGGCCTCGACGAGTGCGGGCAGCGTGGGAGCCTGCAGCCTGGGGGGCATCTCGGCCTCCTCGGAGTCCCCCGAATAAGAGTGAAAAAGCTAGCTAGATAGGATACATGTTAACTACCACTACCAAAGATACTCAGCTGTAATCCCGCATGAAAATCAAAGACCATCCTCTCCCCCCCCCCCTCAGAGTCCAATCAATTAACCTTCCCAGCTGCATTTGAGCTTAGGCCCTGTGAGCAAACTCAATTATATTCAAGTCAGTGTCAGACCCACCTACAAGATACAAGCATTCAGCAGATACAGATACATATGCGTCAAGAAATACAAAGTAAGCGAGTAATCATTTGATCAAATCAGATAGAACTACGAACTATATGCTAAACGTAATTAACGACATAAATATTGTGTAGACTAGGCTCTATCCGCAGGCAAAAAAAAAAAAAAGAAAAGAATGAACGATAAAAACACTCCACCCCGAACTCAAACTGGAATAGTTTAATCAGTCGCGTATATGTAATTCTAATTGTAATTGTAACGTGTAAAGTTAGTTCTAAACCGAGTTAATATTGAGAGGCACGTCGAGTCGAAAGATACTATACTCACAGAATTATAAGCCGATGCAGACACTGGAGGTGCGATTGCAATTTAGATAAATTGAAATTATTTTGTAACCGAAACTATCGTAGCTAAGCAAATGGAAACGGAAAACTATTGAATTAAATTTGATAAGCCGCGAAACGGCGGCACTTTGTAAATTACGGTAAGCCCTAAGTAACGTTCAATATCGCATGGTAATGGTAAAAAAAGAAAACAGAAACAGAATCAAATATATGGTAATTACAAACGCACTCCCCGAAAACCCTCGCACAACCAAAGAATGTCAGTCAGCCCGCTTTATCCGCCAATCTATCAGTATCGAAGAATCCCCGAAAGCGTCAGGGTATTATTAAGCTGACCAATTTAACTCTAGACCTATGACGAACAAAAACTATCGAATAAACCAATGATCAAAACTCTGTTGTAATCGCAAGCCTGTTTATTGTGTTCGGGGGAGATCCCACCCGCTAGATGAGCAGGACCTCAACATATTGCATTTTCTCGACTCCAAAACATTTCACCTTCACCGAGAGTCGATGTGCCTCCTGGGTTCTTTGTGGTTCGGTGCATCTCCTTGCAGATTTTTCCACCTCCATCTCCTCCATCCGATCGGATTGCTAACGTCGATCGCTGTCATTATCGTTCCGAGGACGCCGAGTGGTGTGCGGACGACCCTTGGGTTCCGGATTGGGCTCCGCCATTGCCAGGGTGCCCAGGCTGCCGATGAGTCCGAGGATCCCGAATACCAGGAACAAACTAAGCCACTTCATCTCGCTCGATGTTGGATGCAAACTGCTGGCCGATCGGTCGCGAATCGAACGTTTTATGGTCTGGCGCCCAGCAGATCGGCGACGATCTGCATGCTAATGAGGGGAACAGCCGTCAACATCGTTTACCATTGCCAGTTGTTTATGTTCGCAGATCGGCCAGATAACGCGCCAAATTGAGTTGTAAATCTAGCGCGAAAAATGGGCGGACATACATTTAGGTAATTAGCTCCATCGAACAATTGTTCCCCCTGCAATTGAATCGCAGTCACATCTCATTGTGGGACCTCTAATTAAAAACGAATTCGCTTTCGAACGATCAAACTTTATACATTGGAAATTTATTAGAATCGTTTCGGATAAGTATTTGACAAATTTCCTTCCTCTTTGTTCTTGTATACAGAATGGGCAAAACTTTACGATATCGAAGGCAGTCTAGTGCCAAATTAAGATCTATGAACAATCATTGGTGTTTGGTACAAATTGATTACTTGGTAAAGTGACAAAACAAAGCGAATTTTCACGAAAGCAAACATTTGAAAACACGGACGAGATGATTTCATAAACAAAGGTATACAAAAACATGTTGGGGTTTGTTAGTTATAATATAAAATCCACGAGCACTTATCGAAAGTGCTTTAAAGAAGGCCACTTATATGGCGAATGATCTGCTAAATCTATTATTTACAAATATCACAATGAGCTGGCTTTGGCAGGTCCCCTCAGAATCTCCATTGATCCGCGAAGGGCGGCGGACTCAGGCTCAAGTTTTGCTGGAAAAGTTGGCCGAGTTCGTTCATTTCCCGCTCCCTGCGCAGCTCCTCGCCCACCTGCTGCCACATGGACTCGAATCCATTGTCATAGGTGGCCATTGAAACGTCGCCCTCGCAGGAGCTGTCTTCAAAAACAAAGGAGTATTCCATCTGGTAGTCGCACATTTTCAGGTTTATTTTTTCAAAGCTGAAAGATAGAGAGATTCAAATGGTTAGCTATCGATTGGGAACTATTGTCGTTTGGCGCCAACTATCGATTTGGGTTCTTATCAAACGAAGAGTCGGAACAGCTGATCCCATTGGTATACAGAATGTCGCGAAAGAATGTCTTAAGTTTGATCAACACGATCGTGGGCAACTCGTAAGTTTATAAAACTAAAAAGCTGTAGAAGTTTTTTCCAGAAATTTAAATATTATAATAACCTTACAGTTGCAAGTGCCCCGCCCACTCGCATAATTATGGTTCAGCTGCTCCAATCGGCCTTCCAAACGGGTCGCATGGAATACGCCTTCGAGGTAAGTGGCTAAAACTTGGACTTTGGATCACCTGCAGATAGCAGATTCTCATCTCCAGACAGACATTCAAAGTCTGAAGCAGATAGTAATCTGAAATCTAAAATTACTATAGCCTGCCCCCTTGAAATGCATATGAAAAAGTTATCAATTCAATTCCATTTGGATAGTTAAAAACCACTATCTGCTAAATGAAAACTATCATACGGAAGGGAGATCCCAAAATAATTAAATAAGGACTTGATTTTTCTATAAAAATGATTTTCTATGATCTATGATTTTCATAGAAATTAATTATGATCTCATATATATTAAAATCAGCACCACCCATCTACTCTAATCTACTCTATATGATGGACTAATTTTTCTCTTATCTGAACTAGGTCGTACTGATATCATCAATTGATTATAATTATCATATCCCTTTCCCATTTAAAAGATGTCGGCCTCAACTGTTCGCTTTGGACCCGGAGTAAGTGCCGAAGTGGGAGCTGATCTTCGCAACCTGGGAGCCCGAAAGGTTTGCCTGGTGACGGACAAAAACGTGGTGCAGTTGCCCTCTGTGAAAGTGGCCCTGGACTCACTCGCCCGTCATGGAATCAACTACGAAATCTACGATGAAACCCGGGTGGAACCCACGGATGGCAGCATGTGGCACGCAGCGGAGTTCGCTCGTCGAAAGGAATTCGATGCGTTTCTGGCCATTGGCGGTGGATCTTCTTTGGATACAGCCAAGGCAGCCAATCTGTTTAGCAGTGATCTGGAGGCTGAATTTTTGGACTATGTTAACTGTCCCATAGGCAAGGGCAAGGAGGTGAAATCTGCATGATAATAACACTAGAATGAATATTAATAATTTTGAATTTCCCATAGATATCTGTAAAACTGAAGCCCCTGATTGCCATGCCCACCACCTCGGGGACGGGCTCTGAAACCACTGGGGTGGCTATATTTGATTACAAGAAATTGCATGCCAAAACTGGGATTTCCAGCAAATTCCTAAAGCCTACTTTGGGTAAGCACTTTAATTCGATTTAATAAATACTAGACAAAAAATTTAAGAACTAAAACCAAACGAATTCAATCTAAATACCTTCAATTTAAAACTCACTAAATTAATTTCTCTCACTAATTTTTGATTTTATAACTTTAGCTATAATTGATCCCCTGCACACCTTGTCCCAACCGGAACGAGTGATGGCCTTCGCCGGCTTTGATGTTTTCTGTCATGCTCTGGAGAGCTTCACGGCGGTGGATTACCGGGAACGAGGTCCGGCGCCCAGTGATCCCAGCCTGAGACCCACATATCAGGGCAGGAATCCCGTGTCGGATGTGTGGGCCCGCTTCGCCTTGGAGGCGATACGAAAGAACTTCGTGGACGCCATCTACCAGGCAGACAACCTGGAGGCCCGATCCCAGATGCATTTGGCATCCACGATGGCGGGCGTGGGCTTCGGCAACGCCGGCGTTCACCTGTGCCACGGACTTTCTTACCCGATTTCCGGAAATGTAAGGGACTACAAGCCCAAGGGTTACGCCGCGGATCACGCTCTCATCCCTCATGGTCTTTCTGTGGTGATCAGTGCTCCGGCGGTCTTTGAGTTCACCGCTCCAGCTTGTCCAGAGCGGCACTTGGAGGCTGCCCAGCTGCTGGGCGCCGAGGTGCAGGGTGTTCGAAACTCAGACGCCGGTCGTCTTTTGGCGGACACTGTACGCGGCTTTATGCAACGAGCTGGCATCGAAAATGGCCTCCGCGAGCTGGGATTCTCTAGCAGCGATGTGCCCGCTTTGGTTGAGGGAACCCTGCCCCAGGAGAGGATCACTAAGCTGGCACCCAGGGCGCAGACGCAGGAGAATCTGTCGCAACTCTTCGAGAACTCCATGGTGGTCTATTAATTTGGTGGTCTATTAACTTACCCACGCTCAACTGGTTCGCTTCAGGGAAAAAGTGTTAAACTAACGGTTCCTGGTCTACAAACTGACCATGCTTGAGCTTTTAAAATTCCAATATAATAACAGCGCTTACCAATCTTAGAGTGGACCATATACTTTTGTGTGTACATATATATACCATTAAAAATCCCATACAGAATCACTGGAAATTTGATTCCTTTCTGTGTTTCTGTTTACATTATGGACTTAATGTATATTCAGCATTATTTTGTGGTCTCTCTTTTGGTCTGGCATTCGCTCGAGAGTCCTCTGCTTATAAAGTTTCAGTTAGTATTTCTATGCTGAAAAGGAAAGAGCAACGCTGGAACTTGGAATATTTAAAAATATTTACAATACGTAGCTAATACAAAGCTTGACATCTCAGCATCGTATGTACAGCACAAAAAGGTTTTATTTTTCCATTTTAATTTAGTAATATTGCAGATTTTGGACATGCGCAACTACAAACATGAGTATTCATTCATGTTTAAATACTCCGATTACGGCAGTAGATTTATTGGAATGCCCTACGACAGGGACTTTGAGATAATGTGGCAGCAGATCGGTGAGGAGCTTCGTTCCAAACATAACCGATTTGTGGGCATGCCCTTCGATAGCGGATTTGAACTGATGTGGCGCCAAATTAGAGATGATTTGAAGCGGGATCAGGAGGTAAACGACTTTGCACTCGCCTTCCAGCGAGACTTAACCCTCTACGTTGAGGAGGAAGGGGATGTCGGACCACTTGAGTCTTTTATTGAACGCAGATAAAATATATTCAATTTTATTGAAAGGCATGTTATTGTTAAAAGTACGTATGTATGTCTATTAAGTATGCATTGTAAAGATTACGATCGGTTTGGTTAAAATAATTTATTGTTTTCGGAATTGGTTTCAAAGTCGAATGCGTCAAGCGGTTACTTGAATTCGATTGGAAAAAAGGTAATAAAAAAGACTTAACATAGTTTATGCAATAATTATTTCTCTCATCTCGTGATCAGATTAAAAATCAGACGTCATTCTAGGGAGTCTTCTAACCGTTTGCTACACAGACTCGGATCTAAAACCCTTACTACTTTCTGCTCCTCTCGCCTCGTTTCTCAGTCCCGACGTGGCACTCAGTTTAGAAACCCTAATGTTTTTAAGTAATTTACGCTCGGTTTGAATTTTGGCAAAATGGCACTAAATCTTCAAGTTGTTCCCGAAATTCTCATAAGTATATATGGATGTGGATATGGATAGATTGGATTGGGTTGGGGGCAGTGGTTCGATAGGTTGCAAGTCCGTTGCTTTCGAAACGGTTGCTAATCAAACGCATACTCAAAAACCCACCTCTACTTTCTAGGCGGTATAGGCTATTTCATGGACAAAGGATTGGTTTCCTAGTATTCTTCTCCCTCTTATTTGGATTCAAGTATTTCTCAGTTGTTGCTTTGTTTCCTCGCACTTTCGCTAATACTTTTAACTGCTCCTCCTGCTCCTGTTTCATTTCATTCTTGTGCTTGCGTGTAGTCAATTGTCTGATGTGATTTTCCACTTTTTCAACTATCAATAAACTTATAAATTAGAAAAACAGCGCAACTCGTTCGACCCGGAACTGCTGATTCTAGGTGGACTTAGACCTTAGACCTGGTTGATGGGCGCATATCGGTGCACCTTGGGCTGCTTCAGGTGCTTGGGCTGTTTCTGATCCTTGGCGCTGGTGGGCTTGACGATGTCCTCGCTCAGCTTCTGGTACACGAACGAGTTCTTCGAGGCCAGCAGGGCCATGCGGTAGCGTTCGCCGCGCTTGCGCAGCACCACGTAGATCACGCGGGCGATGGAGAGCACGATCATCAGGAGGCAGAAGGACACGATGATCAGTGGGACCACCAGGTCGTAGGACAGCTGGCCGTGGAAGATCATCTTCTCGGTGTATTCATCGGACTCCTCGCTTTCGCTGTCGAAGCCCAGTTTGTCTGAAGGGGTAAAGCATTCGGTTATATTATGTAAATCCTCCCATAGTTAACTCAAGATAACTCACCCAGCAGGAAGCGATCCCGTGTCTCCTGGGACATGTCCACCTCCTCCGCCTGGACACCTTCGTCCTTCAGCACTGGCTTCAGTTCCTTGTTCACAAATTTGTCAAAGGCCTTGTCGGCCTTCTTCTCGGCCTTCTTGGCCTCCTCGAAGCGATCGTCATCATCATCATCATCGTCCTCATCATCGTCGTCGTCCTCGTCGCTGTCATAGTCGCTGCTGTCCTCATCCTTGTCCTCGCCACCATTGTTTAGATTCTCCTCGGAACTATCGTCCTCGGGCTTCACCGTCTCAGCGGTGACCGAGCCCTTCATGATCTCCTGCATGCCCTTCAGCCGGCTCTTGTCCAGCACACTCTTGTCCAGGACACTCAGCAGCTTGGCCTCGTCCTCGTCCAGCTTCTTCTCGCTCTCCTTCAGCCGCTTCTCCAGCTTCTCCTCGGCGCTGTCGGCCTTCTTCTCGTCCAGCAGTTCAGAGCCCTCGGCATGCTTGCACACCTCGTGGGCCAAGGACGCCCATCCGGCCTGCGCCTGGGTCTCCAGCTCCACAATGGTGGCATCGTCCTCCAGATTGGCCAGGACAGGCAGACGCCTCGGCGTCATCTGCATCTGCAGGGTGACGTAGCTGATGAAGTCCTGGAAGTCGCGGGTGCACTTCAGCGGATTGTTGGTGATGTCCAGGGAGCGCAGGTTCTTGAAGCTCTTCACATCCTCCGCCGAGATCTTCTTGATCAGATTACCCGAGGCGTTGAAGCTGCGCAGGCTGTCGAAGATCTTGTAGCCCTTGCCCATCTCGCGATCGGAGAGCAGGGAAGTGAGCTCGCAGTCATTGACATCCAGGGAGCGAAGCTGGTGCAGCGGAAGGAAGAGGCGGACCGACAGGCGGCTAATGGGATTTCCGGCCAGACTCAGCTTGGTGAGCTCGCCGTTGTCCATGAAGATCAGGTCGTCCATGCGCGGAATCAGATTGTTGCTCAGATCCAAGTCGATCAGCTTGTGCAGCCTGGTGAAGACCTCACGCGGCAGGTGGTTAATGTTGTTCCAGGCCAACTTCAGGGTGGTCAGGTGCGGCATGGTGGAGAAGGCCTTGTGGCCCAGCGGACCGATGGCACAGTTGGAAATGTCCAGGTAGTAGACGGTGAACTCACCACTGTAGCTCAGGAACCCATCGGTGGGCAGTTGGCTCAGGCGGGGATTGTCGTTCAAGCGGATCACGTCCAGTTCCGAGTTCTTGAAGAACAGCATTCCCGAGATCTGGTCCAGTTCGTTGATGGACAGATCGATGTGGCGCAGGCTCTTCAGCGTGAGGAACGAGTCGGGCTGGATCTTCCGGATGCCGTTGCCCTTCAGGTTCAGGTTGGTCAGGCCGGGCATCTTGTCGAACATGCTGTGGTGCACCTGGACGATCGAGTTGAAGCTCAGGTCCAGCTGCTGCAGATCCTTGGTGCCGAAGTGCAGGTCGCCATTGAAGGTGTTGTACTTGAGGTGCAGGATGGACAGGGTGGTGCCGTTGAAGATATCGCGAGGCAGCTCAGTCAGGGAGTTGTAGGAAAGGTCCAGTTCCTCCAGCAGAGTGACCTTCTCGAACGCCTTCTCAGGCAGTTTCTTCAAACTATTCTGGCTGAGGTTGATGTAGACCACATTGGTCAGCTGGGAGAAGGCCTTGGGACTCAGCTCCATGAGGTTGTTGCGCGAGAAGTCCAGCTCCTCAATGCTGGAAGACTGCAGAAAGCGGGTTAACAAGATCTTACAGATTATAGATTAGAGAGGTTCAAAAACCTACGTTCAGCAGATAGTGAAGGCTGGACATCACGCTCAGGTCATTGCCCGAAATGGTCAGCATGCGCAGCTTCTTGTTGCCCAGGAAGGTATCCGGATTGATGATGGCCAGACCCACGTCGGTCAGGTTAAGAGCATACAGCTCGTTCAGGCCGTGGAAGGCGTCTTGGTGCAGGTACTCCAAGGTGCAGTTGGCGATCTTGATCGAGGCCACGTTCTTGAGGCCCAGATTCAGGAAGAACTTGGGGCCCATCAGGATGGGGTACTTGGGACCCACATTGGTCACCACCAAGTCGGTGATGTCCGAGCCGAACTTCTGGATGCCGGTGTCGAGTCTGAAAGGTATTTGGATTGTTAATTAGAGTCTTGGAGTTTGGAGTTTGACTTAGACTAACCTGCTGCAGGTGGCCACCAGATAGCTGTTGACATTACGGGCACACTGGCAGAATCGCGGGCAGGGAACGTCCTCGCTGAAGACCACCTGCTCATCATCGGTCAGCAGATCTTCGGAGGCATCGTCCTCATCATCATCTACATCCTCGTCCTCATCGTAATCGTATTGAGAGTCGCTGTCGATGTCATTAGTACTTTCTTTGGTCTTTTTGTCGGAGTTCTTGGCCTGAAATGTAGATTAGGTTATTACACTTTAAAGATCTCCCTCTCAAAATCAACTTTGTGCATACCTTGGTGTCCCGGATGGCGTCCACGATGGGCTGCAGCTTGGGATTGCTCTTGGCCTTCTTGGGACCCGAGGTGGTCGTCTCCGAGTCCTCGTCGAAATAGTTGTAGTCGTCGTCGTAGGCGTAGTACTCGCTGCTGTCGTCACTTTCGGTGGAGTTCTTGTCGTCGGCGGCGACCGTCGAGTTGAACATCTTGTTGAAGTGGGGATCATCGGCGAGGGCCTGGCTGTGCTTGGCCGCCTCCATTAGATCCTTGAGGGCCTCCTCGGTGAGGGACTTCTGGGTGGCCAGGGGCGTCGGCTTCTTTTCGGGGCTCTTGGTGGTCGTCGTCGTCTCCACGGGAAGTTCCTTGACTTTGGGCGTGGAGATCTTGGGGCTCACCTCCTCCTCGCCGGAATTCAGCTCGTTTTCCGTCAGATCATCCTGGACGTAGTGGATCTTGTTGCTCACGGCGCTCGAGTGGCTGGCGTGGATTAGGGCCAGACTGAAGGCCAGCAGCAGGACCAGCCTGCAAGTCGACTGGCGACCCATTCTCCTGTAGATGGGCAAACTGCAAATGGACCAAGAGAGAGGAATCAGTGACTTGTACTCGTACAGTTGTGGCCACTTCCAAGAAACGGAACAGAAAAAACAGACGACTCACAACTCACAACTCACAACCTAGTGGAGCCGTATCTTATCGCTAATTGCCGGAGCCAGATAAGCAGATATACGTTTATTGAATCAACAACATTCTGGCGAAGTGGCCGTGTATTCATGGCTGGCCCCAGAATACGCACGTCGTATCACCCATTTCCTCCAAAATCACCGATCTGCATGGCGAAACGGTGAGCCATGCTGACACCCCTGATTAGCACCTTGGCACCCGGGGAGTTGACATCATTGGCCAATGGCCATGCTAATTTGGTCAGTACACCAAGCCGAATCCACAAGTTTCCAAATATTTGCTCATCGTTTAATGGCAATTGTTTCGTTTTACTAGTTGCCCCGTTAGATATAATGATTCTCTTCGTATTTTCGTCTCGTTACTCAGAGTTTGAGCGAAATCAATTGGCACTTTCTACCATATCCGTAAGGTACTTCCCTTTTCGGAAAAGTACTGATATGGCAGCTATATATTATAGATATGGAGATGCGGAAAGTTGATGCCTCACTCGATCAGATACAGAAACGCTGACTCTCGGTCTCAATTCGAGTTTTGTCTGTCGTCAGCTGGAGCTCGTGGCTTATTTATTTGGCTTTCGGTTTGTTTGCCCTTTGATTACTGACGACGACTGGCTAACGAGTGAATTAGGTAATCTCATTCGACTCCTGAATTGATTCGAGTAGGGGAATCCCCACGGAGCGTTTCTTGACGCCAATTAAGAACTCGTTTGCCAGCTCGCTGATTCTAAGAAATTCCCAAAACCAGACTGAAAACGCGACGATTCAGGTCTCTTATACAACTAACCATTTTTTGGAATGCATTTTCCAGACATTCGATGTGGATGCCCCCTTTGAAAGCCCGCCTGTGTTTGCCTTCGTTTTCATGGCAAAACAAACACATAATTCGAGACCGTGGCTCGCCGAGTGGTAAACAAAGAGCTTTGGGTATTAATGCTTTTCGTAACCAGGCAAACGACCCGGGATCGCCGTAGATCGGAGATCGGAGACCGCCAGCAAAATGCAAAGTGCGCAGTTAACGCGGCCAGAATAGATCGCATTTATTCCAGCCAATATGCAATATGGATACAGGGAACATACATATCGTATCGTATGTTGGAGCATTTCATTAGACCCCACAAAAACCGCTTAGCCAGCTCTCTGTGTTTGTGAGTGGGTGTCAAGTTGGCCTGGCCACAGAAAACCGAAGGGAAAACTGCAGTCTCGAGACCGCATTAAACGTGTTTAGGTCTTTCGGCTAACACATTTCATCGAGTCACGAAAGACAGACAGCGCTTTTTGGCTCGCTTTGAATTGCTTTTGGTTTTGGTTTCGGTTTTGGCTTTGGCTTTAACTTTGGCCAAGGCGCCGCCGACACTCCGACCGACCATAATTAATTCCATTTCTGTCATTGCAGCGATCCAATACGATCCAAACCGATCCAATACGATCCGATGTGTACACAGATGTCCGCTCGAACTGGGCTATCCGAGAGATGGAGACGGAGGCTCCGTTCAAGTTTAGAGAGAAACCGGTAACTGGCACTGGCCATACTTGTACATGTATGCAAATACGTTTTCCACTCGGAAATTCGTGAGTCAGCCAATTCATCATATACTACTGTCGCTATCTACGGCTGTAAAGATTAGAGCTGTATCCTTCCCCCTCATAAATCGATCGATCCCCCGCCAGTAAATAATCGCTGAGTGCATTGTAGTGTCGTGCATCTAATTAGCTGAGACCCAAGGGGGAAATGCTTTCCTGAAACTGTTTCTAGAACACTTTGACATTCGATCGCGATAGACCCTGATCTCGCCCTGTTATACCCAATGGCCCCGTACTCAACGTAACCCGATACGGAAACATTTTGGATCGTTTTGTTAAAACTTTAGAGGCTCACTTCGCCCGAGTGTCGCCTAACAAACCGATTTCAAATCGCGAAACTAACTGAGATTTGTTAAAACGTAAGGGTCTATTCAATTTATTATTATATTTTGTTTGGGCTTCGTCGCTTGTTTTTTCGGTTTTTAGTTTATCAACTGGTTCACAGACATGTGGTCTTGGCTTTGTCAACAGATTCGAGTTATGAACGATTCCCATGAGACCCTGCAGCCCACATTTGTGTATCAAGTTACCCAGAAATGTCATGTGGATTTAGAGAGCAGATGGGGCCCGGCTATCGATTGGTGCATGGGTGCGTCGATCGGAAATTGGAAACTGGGTGCGACCCCTGGCCAGCCGATATATTATAAATTATACTCGTATGTTACCGAAAAGAAATGGCATTCCTGCGGAGCGATAGCAACGGGATCAGCAAGGTCAGCTAAAGAACCTCGGCCTACGTTATCGAACTCAGGTAGTTTCGCCTTGACTCCGACTTAAGATCAACGCACAAAAATGTCTCTGGCAAATACCCAGAAATACCCAAAATAATACATTCATGCTACGGGTCTCCGAGTATCTGAGTATCTGTGTGCGTGGGTGGATAATGATCGAGCTGTCTGCTGGGTAAAAATAGCTGGCGTTAACAGGAAGTGAAACGAGAGGAACGGACGTGTAGGTAGAATATTGCATTTTTTTTCGGGAACTCATCTCCGTCCCTTTTAAGGATATCGATCCATGGGAAGAGCGAGACTGACAGAACGGAAATGCCTCAGCTGATGCCTTCATTAGGGTGGCTCAAACCCAAAACAATTCCATCCGGTCTAAATCTGCGGATCACGACGCCGTCAAATTTGTTGACCGATTCATTAGCATCACGAGTTTCTGCTGATTTTTGAGATTTACGATCATGATTTCTGCTTGAAAAACACACCACAGACCAAGAGTTCAGTACATTAGAGTGGCCTGTATCCTACTCGGTTGACGCCATTCCGGAATATTATTTCTGCAACGTTAATTTTTGCCAGCCAGCCAGTACAATGGACGAAATTGCCCAAGGCGGTCACATAAAAAATATACACAAAAGTATAAAAAATGCCGACATTTGACCACACACACCAGCACGCAGTCGGTAAAAAAAAAATGAAAAAAGGGGGAAACTGTTGGCTCAGAAAGATGGCCAGACTGGTTTTTGGCTGGAAATTGCCACTCGCAGCAGATGTGTGAGCCAAGTTAGCCCGGTGGCAGCCAAAAGTCAGGCAGATGACTTTACGAGTTACGAAAAATTCTTGCTAAAAGCCATTTCAATTCGCTCAAACTTAAACATTTCCAAACGTAGCTTCTGTAAAATAACCGATTGTGTCACGTTCAAGTTGCTTGAACTCTCTGCAGAGAATGTGCGCTATTGGAAGCAAAATAAACTCATTAGGGTTTACGTAAACAATTTAATCGCAAAGGCATTTTACATTGTAATGGTATATTGCTGGTACAATCAATCAATAATGCAGTTAGATTATAGGAAATGGTAAAGCTAATCTAAAAAGGTCTTATCTGCTTAAAAGGAAAGAGTATCGCTAAGTCAGTTAAGTAATTGAATTTCTTTTAATTTTTTTTCATGCGGTGAGGGTTTAATTTTGCAGCAGCTGCAATTTCCTATAAACGAAGCGACATTTCTTAAGACCTTGCCAAAACTTGTCGTTAAATAATACCTCCTGATCGATCGTACTTAAAATTTCAACTTGTTCGCTGAGTTCTTTGCCGATAAAGTGCATTCGCTGTTATCTGAGGGAGGTCCCTGCATGGGTATTCAGTTATTAAAAGTGCCATAAATTGATTTTAGCCATTCGGATCAGATGTTTATGCCTGCTTCCTCGCCTGCAATTGCCCTTTGTTTGGATCGAACAGAATCGTATCGGGTGTATCGTATATATAGCCCTGATGCTGAAGCAGGAAGCGAGGCATAAATTAAGAACTTAAGGAGGCGGTGCGCCTGGGAAACCGGCTTTCACCTGGCGGGGGCGGTTCATTAGCGATATCTGTATCGCTTTTTGCCTCTCTGACTTCCAGCTTCCGACTTTTAGAGTGCTGGATAATGCGACATTAGAAGCCTGGCTGACTGGGGCACGACTTTTCTGCCACCAACAGCTGAAAAGCGCTTTTCATTGTGCTTAGCCGACGGAAACCTGAATTTGTTTACTCAACCAAGTGTGATTTTCGAAAAACTAAACACTTTTTTCCGACCTTTTTGCTCTAAACTTTGCACTCGAACGAGGCTTTGTTGACAATAACAAAGGCGTTTTGCCATCACGTATTGGTTATCGGTCGAACGAGCGCCTCTAGAGACGAATGTCTGGAATTGTCAACCCGTTGAGCCATCTATATATTTATTAAGTGTCGAGTGCTAAGCACCCAGTATTGAAAGGCACTGATCTCCGCTGTCAAAAGACCTGCAATCAGCTTTTGTTCCTATTAACTTAAAGGCATTAAGAAACAAAGGTTTTTGTTGTTGGGTCCTTGTTTAATTATGTGAAATAATAATAAATATAATTAGCTAATTTAATTGAAACTAAAGCATTATAAATGTTTATAATCCCATTAAGTTCCTGGAGCTCGACCTTTTTTTATCAAATGTACTAGGAAAACGAATTATTAAATTCGATCTCTTCAAATAGTAAGAAAAGAACTCATCCTTGCGTACTTCTAATGTATTCTTCGTTTTAAATATACATTTTTGGCATGTGTAGGGCATAATACTCCACTATTTTATATCATTAAGGGTTGGAATGACTGCAACCGGCCTCCACCAACGTAGTTGGCCACGTTCCATGTGGCAGGCCGCATTCCGAGCCGCGAAACCGCTTGCATAGCACGTAAGCACACACTCCTCTGAGTCACTTCCAGTTCCAAGTCTCTCTGCATTTCATTAGCCCGCCAATGGGTGAGTATCCAAGCCCAAAGCCGAGACCCTGAAGCCAAACTTTGAGGCTGTGAAATCGGCTTAAGGCCTGGAGATCTTGAGTAATGGTCAGACCAGAGCAAGTCAAGGCAATCCCGCAAAGGGGTTTAGCATCCAACGCCCAACTGCTGGGTTCCGAAAGTACAATTGCAAAAGAGGAGAAAGTTGCAGCCGAGAATAGGGCCAAAACATTTCACCATTTGTCAGCTGCTTTCTGGTGGTACCACCGAACCAGCGATGCCGATGACTAATGTTTTATGGCAGAAATTGATTAATGCTAATGCCACTTTGTCCGACTGTCAGGCTTGATCGATTAGATTCAGGGTTAAGGTAAAATGTCAACGCAATGTGGGTGCGAAATATGCGGAGCGAGCGTCATGCTCAATTGAGCAGTGAAAAAAACTAGCTGCCAGAGAGAATTGCATTCGGCTTTCCCCCGGAGGTATGGGCATTCAAATCCCATTCAAATGACATCATTGTTGGCCAAAGCTGTTAAAACAAAGCAACCTGGATCGTTAAATCACTCAAAAATAGTTTACTTTTCGCTGTTTTCGTATGGCAATCATGTGCCAAATAAAAGCTTCTAAGTGAGCCAGCGAGCAAAGCAGCCGCATTGCGCATACGCCGCATGTGCCGACACTTAAGTTCTGTGTAAGACACGGAGCTCCAAGTTAAATTTACCCCCACACCCAGATGATCGGAAAGACTGGTTGATTGTTTGGCTGGGCTTAAGTGCCCAACTCCAGCTCCGGCTGGCCATAAAAGATGTGTTTAAGTATTCATAATTCGCCCTCCACGGCGTAGTCGTAAGTCTAAAAACTCGTACTCCGGCCAATTGCTAGCCATGAAACCAGAAACAGCTAGAGCGGAGAGTGCTGTGACCTCATTAACTCTCGGTGGAGCGAGGCAAAGTCTCAACTGGCCCCGTGTTTGCTTTTTGGGCTCTTTATCTGTACAAATAGGTGGTTAGGTACGGCGGTACGGAGGTTCCTATGTGGAACCGGCTTATGTTGCGATTAGATAATGCCCCCCGGAATTCATCAGCCGACTGGCGACAGCCTGACACATTATATGTGTCTGCGCGATCCTGCTGCGGATCGAGTGCCCTGCCCAAGAACAATCCAATCCAAGTCGTAGTCGAGTCGAGCTGGGGCAAAAATTTGCATACAAAATCGCTTTCCAGATATTCACAGTGCACTCCTCTGAACTGGTTGATTACGTCTGGAAAATCGAGTCGCACCTCAAAATCAAATGAACGTGTGTTTATTGCCCAGATCTCGGTAAATAATTTGTGTGTGCGATGTACATTTCATTTAAATTCCAGCTTCGTTCGCGCCACAGCCAACGGAGATGGTTATAATAAAATCGGCTAGCATTAAAATTGAAAATCGATTGGAACTGGTTCTGAATTATGCATAGAAATAAATTATTTATTTTTGGAGAATTTTTCGTGGCTGTTATCGAAGTTCTGGTCTGTGATTAATTGGGCCCGATACTAAAGGAAGCTCTCGAAGCCGATTAAACACGAGCGAGGGGTATGGTGTATGGTATGCTATAGGTATGCTATAGGTATACTACCCACAGTGTGACCTTTGGAGCTGTAAAAAACTCAGCTTTTCCAATAGCTGGCTTGCCCGTCTTCCACCATATAATAGGTGGTATATGCAAACTGCGATCATGGTCGGACCTAAACTATATAGATTTATCTCTCCGACTGTGACAGTTGAGTATGTTGTGCTTTTTGCAGCAGAGCGTTCAGTTTGTTATGAAGGTGACTTCTTTTTGAGTAAATGCATTACCGGTTTCTTCACCCCTTTCCCTCTCGTTTTTCCCCTGATCGCTGGCTCACACAGATACGACCGACTACATACACAGGTGTAATCTTATCTACCTGGTGGCTTTTGTTGTTGTGGAAAGCCAACGCGTTGTCTCTTAACTGTTTTTTCCCCTGACTGTTTGGCTTTCCCAGTGCATTTGCCTTAAATTGGCTTAAACGCTTTGGTTTTTTTTCACTATAATTGGGGTAGGGAACTTAATTGGCTCGACTGATAAGCTTGAAGAACTTGAACCAAAAGTATGATCGCTTTGCTTGCAGAATTTATCGAGATAATTGCGACTCAGGTTTAAAATTTATATGTCACCACAGCGAGCCAATATACTCACTCTCACACACACAAGAGCAGCTGCAATCGAGGCGAGAGAGTATGGGTTTCGGTATGTTTTTCGAGATACGCCAGGTAAAGATACATTCACAGGTAGCGCACTCACACTTGTGGAGAAGGAAAGATACGCTCGGAGAGCGAGACGACTGCTTGATTGCAGGGGTTCGACTAGTGTTATCCCACTCCCACCCGCTCTTTTGAATGACGAAACATTAACCCTCGCTTGCACTGCACTTTTCTTCCCGAAAAACCCCCCACTCCCATCGATTCTACAAGTCCCAAAATCCCAAAACTCCGACTCATGAACTAGAGATACAATTCGATATCCAAAATCCAGATCAAAGCCCCAAGAAACTCACCTTATAAGCGGTCTGCTTGCAGACAACTGGTCTCTAAGTGAAGCGGGGTAATCCAAGAGTGGTTTTTTGATCGCTAGAAGAAACACATAAACTTTAGTGGACTGGCACACCGGGGTTTCAAGTTTTTGGTCCGGCACTTTTTCTTAATTTACGACTTGAGACGCTGATCACGTGCTCGTTCGTTAATTCCGCTTGCTTGTTTTGCTTTACCGAATCGATTGATCGTATGGGATAGCTGTCTACTGTAGCGCGTATTCAACACCTGTTGAAGTTTGAAACTCAACTGAGCTCAACAAGTTGTTGAGTTCGCAGTTTGAAACCAGTGTTACCAGACGAAAATGTTGCTTTCTTCCTAAAAAATCTCAAAAAGTCGATACTTTCCCCCTAAAAAATCCCGCGAACTCTTAGACGAAACTCTTACTACTTTGTGAAACTCTTTCTTACGCTCTTACGCTCGCTCTGCAACTCTCGTTTAGACCTAGCGATTTGATTGCACTTTAAGTTGTTTCAAGATCAACAACTACAAGACATTTCAGAATCGAGAAAGTCCAAATAAAATCTATTAATTTTAATAATAAATTAATTTTAATTGTAACATCAATACAGTGGACGCAATAGAATATTACAAATTATGGGCATTATAGGCTCTGCACACAGCCGTTTAAAATCGCTGTTGCTTAACCCGAAGGTTTGAAAATAAAATAAAATAAGACCACAGTTAAGTTAAAGCACGTATATTTTTTTTCAGTGTCCTGGGACAAGAAGCGAATACACCCTCCGCAGGTAGTTAATGTAGAAATAATATGTAAGATACATGGGCAGTTCTGTAAATAAGCGCTAGATGTCGCCACGAATCAATTCAATAACTGGTATGTAAAATAAAAGTATAGTGGGAGTCAAGTTCATGTAAAACATTTACAGTTGCCTACCTAGTACCAACTTAGTGGCGGATACAGGATTTGGTTGTGGTGGGGACTTTTGAAACACATTTTTGGTGGCCTACTTCTTGAATATCAGATTTCCATGTACTTTTTACTCGTGGGAGGACTTATACCCAACGTCCCCCCGCATCCTAAACAATTGTTTGTAAAATAGAAGCCGCTAGATATTTATCTATAACGAATAAGGTTTGTTGTATTTTGCTTATTTAACGAAACAACGAAAGAGTTATTATTCGCATTTTACAGACAACTCGTATGTCTTCTTAGCCCTAACTTTTAATTATACCCTTGCTGAGGGTATTATGATTTCAGTCAGAAGTTTGCAACGCAGTGAAGGAGACCCTTTATATATTCTTGATCAGCATCACTAGACGAGTCGATCTATTTTTTTTTTTTTCTTTTTTTCCTTCCGTTTCTACGCAAACTAATCTCTCAGTTTTCAAGCTATCGGGATAAAACTTTCCCAAAAGTCTTCTTTCTATTGCAGGTAGTATATAAGTCGGAACCAACCGGATCGGACAACTATATCTTATAGCTCCCATAGGAAGGATAAAAAAAGTAAAAATTCTAGCTCCGGTGTTTTTGAAATATTATCTACTCTTGGGAATATTTTTTTATATATTTCTGAATTTCGGTTTTTTTGTTTTTAAATCGGATCACTATAACATATAGCTGCCATAGGAACGGTCAAAAAATTAAATTAATAAAAAAAATTATATCTTTGTTGGTTTTTATTACATTCCCTTCTACTCTGGGATATAACTATTTTTAAATATTTGAATTTCGATTTTAATTTTTAAAAGATCGAACTACTATATCATATAGCTGTGATAGAAACGATCGAAAATTAATGTTAAATAATAAGAAATTTAACATTTTTGCGATTTGTAAATTAATAGAATGATCTGCAAAATTTAAAAATTTTTGGTTTTCCGAAGCTAGCTTCCTTTCTTGTTTTACTTAAACCATTTAAAAACTTTTAAACAGGATTCTTATTACATTTACAAAGCGACCGTTAATGCCCATTCGCATTTTCTGCCGGGTCCTAAGGAGATGTACCCTTTTGTGCGAGCGATCCTAAACTGCCAAAATCGTATCGCGAATAAATGAAAGTCTTGCTGCCAAAATTGGTAACTGGTCAAAACCGCGTCTGGATGCGGTTATTGTAGCAGTTGAAATTGTTGCTGTTTCTGTGGCCGCTGTCACGCAAACGTCACAGTTTTCAGCCTTAGCCTCCGAATGTCTGGCTGTCTTTTTGCCAGCCGATTGCCAGTTGACAAAACATGCGCCTGCGCAGTTTTCGCCTTCACATGAATATTTTCTTGTGAAAAATCTCAGCTTTGTGTTCAACGGTCGTCGCTGTTTTTGCAGCAACATGGGCGTAATTGAAAGTGGGCGATAAAGGGATAACAAAGTGGACCCTCAAAAATATTTTCAAACAGTTATTAAGAACCATTGAATTATTGCCCAAAATAAATGCTATTTTATTATTGAGTATTTAAATACAACCCCCCTTCGATTCCGCCACTGCATTGGGCATGAATAATATCGAAGCAAATCGAAAACGAAATTCAATGGGGAACGCAGTTTGCAATGCCAGCACCAAATGCAGCAATCCGCCGCCACTTGGGCGCTGATCGATCTGTGCAGCATTGCAGCATTCGAGCATCGGAGGATCGCTTTGGCTGGATGATGGGAAGACCTGATGGCGTTGAATGGCGGCCATTTGATTGGTGCGTGCCTGGCATCGCAAGAAGATTGCCGCCGAGGCTAGAGACCCCCGATTGCAGCCATTCTGATTCTGCGGCTGGATTCTGCCGGCGAATAGCCAGGAACTCCCATCTGCAGAGGTGACCTTGACCCAACTAAACGCTCGAGTCGCCGCAACGGTAAAGTCAGGCTAGCTGCCTAGACAATGAACTGACAGCCCCGACAAACCTGTCCTACACAGCGAAAAATGAAGCTTTTGTAGAGATTTAAAAATTTTATTTATGTTTCCATAGTATTAAACAATCCCTTCTGTTCAATTTTATTTTTACAACATTATTGTTTACTTAATAAATCTAAACTTTTGTATTAAAATCTCTTATAGTTCTGGGAACAGTCCATAAACATTTGTAATAAAGTGCCCTTAAATTCTCTTACTAGAAGAGAAAATTAAAATTATTGTTTTCTCTGCAGAGACTTAGAGGCAGCTCCTTGACCAATTTGGTTAGAGCGGCCTTCGCCGGATACCACCACATTTACCTTTCCTTTCCCGGTTCCCCCTAAAAACTTGGCCAGAACTTGGTGGCCTGATTACCATGAAGCTGCAGCCGATGCTTCGTCTGGCTCGCCTAACGAGCTTGTTGCAAGTTGATTACGTTGATTAGCGACCACCTGCGAATGCCATTTGCCAGTTGCACTTGCAACGCGGGATTAGTATGAAAAATCTTTATCGTTTATCGAGGCAACAGCATGATTAAGCCGGGAGAGAGTCTTTGCGTAATGAATCAGGGTTATGCGCATTAGTCAAACCAAGCCATCCAGGAGGATTCAATTGGGGACTTGCATTGAGGAAGATCACTTACTTGGAGGTTGCAATTTGTTTTTAAAATTAAGATAACATTTTGAAGAGGTGTTTTCTTAGGTAAGATATTTTACTAAAGGTAATGAAACTTCTTCAAAGGAAATTAAGTTAATAGATAAATTAAAATTAACCAATATTTAATTTACCTCACCTTCTAAAGCCATTTACCTTTATGGTATACCCTCTGCTCAAATTTACTTGGCTTACTTGTCCTACACGATAAAGAAGCTCTCGAATGACCAATTCGTCAGTCACGTACGAAGCTCAAGCGCTACTCATCCAATACCGTTCCCATTCCATTCTAGGAATGGGCCGAGCCGAAAAAGTGAAACTACAGTTATCTATATTTAAGCCCAACAGCATTTACATGATATCATAAAGATATTTGGGGAGGCGAAGGGACTGGGACTGCAACTGGGACTCCAATGAACTCTCCCAGTCAGCGTAACTGTAATCGCCGCGACCCCAAATCAAGGCGCCCAGTTTGATCCAACCCGAGCCGAGTAACCGAAAGGGCGATCACGTTGCCGCCAGATCATAATATAATAATTTTTGGCCAGCAACCGAAAAAGCCTTTGTAGAACAACACGTAGAAACAATTTAAATGCTTGGCTGTGTACACATTGTTTATCAAATTTTCTGGGGGCCAAAGAAGGCATCTAAAAATTACACCTAGGCTAAAAATAAATGTCCAGCGGGCAATGAGCCGGAACGTGCGATTTCCATATACGATTTTGATTTCGATTCCGACTACGAATACTGCACCCCTGTGGATGGAATGGAGTCGACTCCAAATGCAGATGCAGTTGGTTATGAAACTCGGCTCGAGTGGGGGGATTGACGGTTAATTGTGAATTTCCGGTTCATTGCAGCTCATTTGCCTGCCCCTCAATCGCAGTGCCCAGAAAAAAGCTAAAGCCACTCGATCGACGATCCATTGTGGGACACTCGCCTAGTCAGTCACTCAGTCACTCAGTCAGTGAGTCAATGAAAACGAAACCCCGCCACGGAGTCCGCATATCTCATTAATGTGGGTCATTACTTGGCATACGAGGAGATTTCTCATCTAAGGAATATTTAATTTGCAAGCAAATTGAAACTTTTCCACTTCTAGAGTTATATAACCTCTGCATTCGGGGCTTAATTAATCGTTAGTGCATACATTCGTATTGCGAAGATATCGTATCAATATTTACCCAAAAATTAACTTTAATCGCATTGTCAGAGCTGTCGCTACGCAAAGCCCCCATAAACGAAATTAGTCAGGTGCTCTAATCAATTAAGTCAACGCTACCGCGAAAAACACAGTGTTCCCCATGTGGCATAAACCGGAGATCTGGGAATTCAGTTCAGCTGCAGGAATACTTTTGCGGGAAAGCCAACGCCTTAACCTTGAGGCACTGGGTATCCACCGCTGGACAAACAAACAATCTCTGGCGCACAACTTCTGGAAATTGCATAACTTTCCGCCAGTTGCCAGCTGATTGGCCGCTTGGCGGAGGTGAGAAGTGATATATTTGTCAGGCGAGAGGGCTAATGTTATTAATAAATATCACGACTATCTAATCGAGAACAGAGTCAATTTTGTTCGAGTGTTTCCATCGTTCATGCGGCAGGGAAATCGATGAACTGCATGACGCATGGGCCCTCTCCAAAGTTCCACTGAAGGGGTTTCACTGCAACCGCCTGAATATGTAATATAATTAGTGGGTAAATAGACCGTTGGCCAAACAATTACTTGAGACACACAAACAGGCGATAGAACAAGGCGCCGCGAAACTCGAACCTCTTTGTTAGCTCAGCTTTCTGGGCTCTGATCAATCCACGGCCTGTAAATATTATATGCAACTCAATATGGGACGATCGCCCACGATCCCATAGTTTTCAAATGTCCCACTCTGACGTCAGCTGCCAGCGTTAACGTTCACGTCTCCCAAAATCGTCGATTTGCAATTAAGATTTTGGCCATTGCCAAAACAGAAATTCATTCAGACTTCTCACACATTTTATCAGTGGCCCGTTTTGGGGCGTTGGACACTTCCGACCGATTGACGTATACAAGAGCTGGAGAAGATCGGCGGCGTCGTTTCGGCAGGTGGGTCGCCGGGTGAGATAAACAATAGTCCGCCTTTTTATCCGTTTTCCATAAACAGGCGTTTCTATACTATGTTTCAATCAGTAAACAAAGGTTGTATAGGCAAATAAATACATTGCATTTTTTTCTCCATTTAATTTATGAAATATTAAAATTGTTTTGAATTTTAATTTAAAAATGTTTTTATAACTTTCTTATTTGAGCATTAAAAATCATATTCGGAAGAGCTTTTAGAGGGTATGATTTAGTCTATTGCTTAGTTTCTAGTCAAGAGGTGAGCAAACAGCCGAACTGGCTGATGGCATTCAATTTTAAGCGATTAAAGAAAAGTTTCGGGTGTGCGAATATTTGGCTGGTGAGATAATATTGTTATTGTGCCCCTCAACTTACCTCCTAATAGAATAATAGAAATCCGTTTAATTAGCGCCCAACGCCGTGTTCTTGCGTAAAAGAAGCAAAGGGCTTTGGATACAAGAGGGTCTTGAGAATCGAGAGGGGTGATATCACCCGAAAACCCATCGAGAACAAACACGGCGAATGTGAGAGCCCCTGGCGATAAGATAAAATCGAAATCAAATATTTAACATTGGTATTAACACAACTTTTTGCCACTCAACTGCCGCGTATGTACAAATGTACATACATAGCAGACATATGCACACTCATAGAAATTCGTAACGGCTTGAGGTTCATTCGATTCATTCACGAATGAACATTAACTTTGACCCACAAACCCAATAAAACGTAAACAAAACCCACCCACGCATTAACTGGGAGTTGTAGTTTCCATTCGGAGTTGAAGTTGAGTTTAACCCGAAGTCACTTTAATTAGCTGTTGCCAAAAAGAGACAACACACTGACGAAAAAGAAGAGACACTTATCGTGTAGCGGAAAAGAATATGGCAAATGATAAGATATGCAAGGTGTTTGATAAAAAACAGCAGAATCTACATATATTTTTGTGAGACCTGTGCATTTTGCGTATTTTTACAGCAGGAAGTGAAAAGTGCAAACCGTGTAAGGCAAGCAAAAATAAGTGGGGCTATATTTTTAGACTTAATCGCCAAGTAAACTCATCATCATTGATAAGGCCTGAATTTGGTGATAAGCTTTCGCGCTCTCTCTCTCTCTCCTGTATCTCGTTATAATTTTTGCAAATCTAGAAGCTTTTTTCGATGGATTTCGTAACCCAAACAAAGTTCCATAGCGCGTGTGCCGCCGACTATCCACGTGTTCTCCAGTACTATAGCTATATAGATATAGTGTGTGCAACGGGTTTGCTTAGCCACTCTCTCACTCTCACTCTCTCGCTTTTTCCGAATCCCATCCCATCCCCGGTAGCTTTCGCCATGTGCTGTGCTCTTGCCGCCTGTATCTCCGCTCCGGTGAAGTTTTTCAGCTCTTCGCAACCGGGGGCTCCGCTAGCGGTTCATTCGGTGCCAAGCTCTCCCCGCGAACGGTCGTACGATCTCCGATCTCCGGTCTCCGACTTTCGGTCTGCGTTCTATACGTTCCCCGATTTTCGCAGGTATAGCTATCGAGCTTTGTTCGGTTCGGGCAACTCCAAAGTCGAGACGTGTCGTCGGGTGCGTGTGCGCGAATCTAAAAGCGATCCGAAAAGGCAGCGTTCCGAGTTCCAACTCGCCACCCGTCTAGGTAATTAAAAATTATATAGTTTCCGTTGCCACACACGCTCGCAAAAACTAGCTGGCAGTTAGTGCAAGTGCCATGCGAAATATTATAGTATGGAAAACACGCATAAAAATCTTTCGGCAAACAGAAAACCAAACCGCCAGATATCAAGATACTTGCATTGGGCGATTTACGAGTCTAAATTGCTTGTGACGTGCTGCTGCTGATGCTGCTGCTGCTCTTGTTTTTGCCCTCATTGTCATCCCTCTCGGCGTTTTTGGGTGCTCTCCCCCTTTTGAGATTCGAATTTTTGTATCTTTTCTCGTTGTATTATTTTTTTGTCGCTTTTTTGGCGGCTGCGACACATTCTGTGATAGCAGTCTGAGAAATCTCGGCAGTCTCTGGCCGCCAGTTCAAACCGAAAGACGCTGCGATCGCATCGTGTGTTGAAGGACTCGGCGTTCCTAAGTGCCAAGAACAAAAGACAAAAACAGTGCTAACAGCGAATAATACGTACTCACGCATTTACTGCGAAGCAAAAACACATATCTGATTAAACAAAAGTGCTCTCAAATATAGAAATAAAGCCCGCAAAAACTGTGAACAAATAACGAAGAAATCTAGTGTGTACTGTGAGTTTGTCTTCGATCTTGGCTTTTGATAACCCACAATAAAAGCCTCGCTGTCTGCGACATGTGATAAGAAAATCGCCATAGCAAGTGCGATATTAAAATCCACAAGGGATTAATCTCGATTCGAGAAATTCCCCAAAGTAAAAGGCCAGGGTTCGAGGTTTTTGGAACTGAAAAAAATCAAAAAACTGAAACAAGTGACTCGCCGAACAGCTTTACCTTTTATTACTTACATATATGTATCTGCCTTGCATTTGCGGTTGGATTTCTGTGGCAAACTTGACCTTATTTCCCAACACATCCAAGTTATATAATTGCCAAAAAAAGAAAAATAAGTATGAAGGAGGGATGAGTAAACTATAATAAAACGGTTACTCTTTTAACCCCCGGGTATGGGCACTTAAAGCGACTTGAATGCTATTGCAAACTTATTATATGAGACAGAAGTAGCACGCATTCATGTGAAATCTCCGCCAGACACTCCGCTACCTACGCTAGTTGGCTTCCAGCCACCCCAAGCCCCGCGATCCAAGCTGCCTGCCCATATATGATGTACATATGATGTATGCATATATACATATGGGTACACGTAAACCCACCCGATCACCTCTCCAGCCGGCGAGCTTTCGGCGCCCTGCAATTCGGAAATCGTTTACGTAAAACCATTGGAAACCGCACACACGGCAGCCAGTTGATTCATTCAGTTATGGATAGGTTAGCGATCGGGCTATATTCTTTACGATTTTCTCGATTTTTCCCCTGTGTTTGTGGTCTACCACCCACTTCAAACGCAGCGTGAATCACTTGTACACGAATTTTAAAAAAAGAAATATTAATAATACAAAGTGCTGTGTGTCAGGTCCGAAAGCAGAAAGTCATGCAACGTCATCACCTAATGAGCTTATCAATCAACTCTAAGATAGAGACATGATCCCGGGTTGCGAAAACTGCGAAGGTGGAACGAACATCTCGGAATCGAACGGAGTGCTTTAAACTCCAGGTCTTGCGTAATACTCCTCCGACTTTTTCTCCATCTCAGAGCGAAGGTGCTAATTTCCAGCGCATAATTCACAGGGGTGTGCGAGTGCGAACTGGAAACTGTTTTTCAGGCAATTTCCAGAAATCATATTTATGGGCAGGCAAAAAGCCCAAGTTGGTGGGTGCTAATATATGGTATCTGTACTGCGAGTTATCTTTACCCTGGGGTTTGGCAATTTATCGAAAATGTACACGAACGGAAAAGAGTTTCCTGTAATGTATTTCGCTATAACATATCTAAGGAGGAAACATAAGTTAAGCATATTTCAAGTTCAAGTCTATGCGGATTTTTCACCCAATATGACTCAACTCGATTGCCAATTGGCGCCTATCGTCTGAGTTCTCAATTTTCGAGGTGTTATGTTTCGTCTCGGTCCAAGGCAACTCGAGATCGAATGCAGTAACACTCTAACACCCACCATACAAACGGAGTGCACTTCATGGTCCCATTTTGGGTGGATGTGTCAACCTTGTCCCCATTAGATATAGAAGCTTTGTTGCTTTGTTGTTTTGTTGTTTTGTTGTTTCAAGGGGGATGAGCAACAAATGTGTTTCGATAAGGCGAAACAAGCTGTTATCGAGGCGCAATCAAAACAATATCATTGGGCAACCCCTGAGGGTGGGGGTTAAATGGAAATAGCTCCGAAATTGAAGTGCATTCTGGAAAATGGAAAGGGAATGGAACTGAAACAGAATATTTTGTCAAACGCAAATGAGAGCCAGAAATCCCAGGGCTCAAGTGCACATGACTCTGTTTGGTTGGCTTTTTTTTGGGGTTCGGCCCTATCTATAATTAGCAAATGTTGGGGCGATAAGATAAAAAACCCCCGTCGCAGAGATAGTGTGAAAAGCTCGCCGAAATGAAAGGAATTCCGGCTAGGGCATATGGAGAGTTCCTCTTTGGCAAGAGAATCGTGACGCAGAATGGGCCAGCCGATTGTTTATCCGTTTCGAATTTTTCGAAAAGTAAACATCTCAGGGAAATAGTTTGGTTCTGCGAACAATTCAAGTTCAGCAGCCAAGAGTTTTCAAAGATCTCGACATCTGCTGCTCAGATGATCTTCGATCTGTGATCTCTGGCAGGTGGCACAAGATTCCAAAGATCAGAGGCTGACCAGTCTATCAATGGCTGTTAATTTGCATGTTTCGCTGAGCTGCGAACCATCACAATCCATTCACAAACGAAACCCCACCACACTTCTGTGGGAGTTTACGGATTACGTGACAGTATTTTCGGTCACGTCCGATGCATAGCAATCGGGCAACAGGTTGTTGGCTCTTCGGCTCTAACAATGGATGAGCAACGCCCTGAGAATCGACGAGCCAGTGATTCAGGCATTAGTGGGTAGAGCTATGATGTTTTCAGAGAACAGATCTTCACCTTGGAGGCCGAACTCGACTGAACCTCTGCCAATTTTATTTAAATTTTCCTTTTACTTTTAAAGAGAGTTTTTATATTTGGGCGAAACTTTCACACTTCACTGACGATTAGGATTAGGATTAGCGTAATAACTCAAGGCAGCTGCTGCAGCTGAATGACAGTCTATTGCCGAAGCAAAGTTCGTTAAAAATTAATTTAGACGGGCGGGCAATTAAGACTTTAATTGCACACAATTAAAATCAAAGCCAAGAAATAATTGCGCAGATAAATAGAAAACTCCCCAATGCAAGTCACTCGAATGCGAATGCGAATGCGAATGCGCACTCTCGAATCGTTGATATTAAAATGCCATTTTGTCCGTTTCTTGCAGCTCTGGCCTGAGGATCCGATTCCACGTCCGAGGATCGACGTCTGCATGTCTTATAGAAGGTACGAATTGAGTTGTGCAAACATCAAATTGGCATTCCCCGAACGAAAACAGAAAAACAAAACCGAAGTCAAGATCAAGGCGAGGGCAGGGGATATATTTTGGTGCTCTTAACTGGGCCTGCGAGTCATCATCGCGCAGAAAGAAAAAAAACGAAAACCAGTTCAGTTACTTTTGGCCGCGTTTGTTGTTTTTAGCCAGTCTGTGGGTGCCGGCCGGCTTCGCTTTGCTTTTGCTTTTGCCGTGCTGTGCTACGGCTTGCCAACTGGCCTAGCCGTTTTTGGCTCTAAAAATAAAACAAGTGGTCATAACTGTCAAATGCCGCTCTCCGCTTTATCGGCTCCTCCATCTTCTGGCCAGTGGCAATGGCCAAGATGCGAGATGCTCCGAAGCTCCGAAGCTGCGATGCTGGGGCCACTTAAATGGCCGGCAAACGTGCGTGCTCTTAACGTGTCAACTGCCAAACGAAGCCATGAAAAACGGCTGTACGATCATGCGATCTTCGAATGCATCCACAGCTAACCGCAGGCTAATTTGTCTGGAGGAGTGTCCATATCGTGCACCGAAAGAAATCAAATATAGAATCTTATCCATTTGTTTAGAGTTCAATTTTACATGATGTAAATACAATGCTTTGCTTAAGAAGCGCGCTTTTTGATCTCTTTTAGTGTACACAATTTAAAGAATAGTGTTCATATTTAAACAAAGTCTTAATAAACTAAGTTTAAATTTCTGTGCTCTATTATTTTCTAAAATGTAAATTATTTTGCAGTTTAAAAAGGTGTTACAAATTAGAAAGTGAAAGATTTTATTGGGTTTTTTATTTAACAGAAAGCTGTTACTCCATTTATTTAATTTATTATACATAGTATTACTTGCCTATTATGTTTTTGTTGTTGTGTAATCTGATGGTATGAACTGATGGGCTCTTCTGGCCCGACAGTCGCCTACTGTGCACAACAGCAGCCAGTGGGAATGTGAATGGGCTGTATGCACTGGCTATAATTACACTGCACTACATGATTAACTCCCGGGAAGGTCAGCACTTGCTCTTGAAATTAACCCCCGGGCAAAACTCGATACTGCGATATGATATCTGGTTTTAAGGAAGCTAACAAAGCAGCTGGGGGAAATCCAAGTTTAAGCCAATTCCCAGATCTCATGCGGCAATCGATGACGAAGTCTCTCAATTGGCCTTTCCATTTTCGATTGTTTTTTTGGCACTTTCCTGACGTCATTTGGCGTTATTAATTTCGCTAAATTTCATAATCACAATTATGACATCAGCCGAATGATATTGAGTCAGTTTTCCTGTCCGACACCTTTCGAGTGAATTGGCATTTAGTTTTTCTGGGAATTCCATTCGCACAGATTGACAAATAATGACATATAACAATTAAATGTAGTTTATTACGAGTGCCAATTATTCTCTGCCTGGGATTCCTATGAAACCTGATCATCAAGTAAGCAGCACTGTCACCGAGCAGCGAACATAATTGAATTTGTTGGCTCTGGCTGAACTTGAACTCGAGATGTGCAGTGTAAATAAACCAGAGAACAGCAGATTAAAGAGGGGGAAATAAGGCAGTCGGCGGAGTGAATTTCGCAGGTGCAGATTGGCAAATAATTTCTCGCAAGAGTCAGGCGTCGTCTTGGCATTTATGTGGCATGCTGTAAAAATGCCTTTCGGCCAGACACAAAAATTGCTCAAGCTAAAGACCGATTTCGCGCACAGCGAATAGTTCAATCGGATGGATCTTTCAATTGATATTTTATGGCGAAACTCGGAGATTTATTGTCAGTGTAACGTCGAGTAAATTTAAAATTCACCTCCAGCAGTGAGTGATTTTCAATCCGCATTACGCTTTAGTTCCAGTTTAATCGGAAGCAGTCCATGTGTTAATGGGATGCAATTCGCTTGGGGGAAGGTCGTCGCACGAGTCTATTTCATCGGCGATTTGGAGCTTCGGAAAAACGCAGCCCACACAACTGCGTTAATTTGGTCAAACGTTTAGCCAAGTACGACTTTTTGCCAATTGCATCATCCGATGCCGAAAACGAGAAGCGAAACCGAAACTCATGACTCTGTCGAGTTCCCCGGCAGAACGATCTGCAGGGTTTCGTTCGTTTTTTTCCAATTAACGAGAGTGTGGATATTTAGTATGCACAAACACAGAAATAGATGTATTCGTATCTGAATCCACACGTAACATTGTGGCTCGAATTAGCTAACTACTGCTACGTGGCGCGACTTCCAGCTGAGCTGATTTGATCTCTGAGAACTTGTTATTGATAAACTTCGGACAATTATAAGGCATTGATCGGCAACCAGTTGGGAGCTCGGACTAAATTAACGTGTTTCTAATTGAATGCCAGAAAAGTTCAATGAAAAGTCAGACCGAGTCATCAGAGCGTTTCCTCCTCGCTAAGTGGAGAACTTTCCACCCATATCAATCGACACAGCAATTACGGATTAATAATTATAATTTGGATCTAAGAATAGAATAGCCGGATCAAAACAAAGTCATCGGTTATTTTGGTTTATTTTAAATAATAGAAATAATTGGTTAAAACCTCAACCTTAGACTAATAAAATATTTAATTGCAAATAAACAAAATAGTTGTATAATTTTGCAAAGTAATATAATACATTTATGGCTAGAATCTTTAATAAATTAATCTGAATATGTTGAACATTTTCAGGGCCTTTAGAAATGTTTTAATGACAGCATTTTTAATGATCTTTGGGTCTGATTAAGAGAATTTCCTCGTAAAAAGACTGTGATTTCTTGTGGCTTTTTCCCCGGCCATTCCGATCTCGCACCTCTGGCCACTGACAGAAACACTCATTTGAAATGGCGTTTGGCACTAATCAGAATCAACACTCGTCGACAACCAAGTCCATCATCAATTGTATCTGGGTGCCTCATTTCTGCCTTTGTGTCAATGGCAAAGTCTTAAGTTTTGTGGCCTGGGCGTGGGTGTGAAATGTTTGCATAGATTGCAAGAGGAAGCCCGAAAATAAAAAAGAAATGGGAATAAAAGAAAATATATTTTTAGGGCTGCTAGGCAGCCTGCCTTTCTCTTTCGATTCGGTTTTTCCTGGTCTTTGTTTATTTTGAGAATTCCTGTGCAATAGCGGCGAGAATTCAAGTGAGAGGGAGAGTAAAGTATTATTTGAATGTCAAGATTCTGTGCGCCCTGCTTTTCGGACGGCAAACATTTCATTTTCTGGCCGCCTGCCCAAGAAGCGAAAATCAGCCGATCGTTGATAGCCCACGATTTCGTAGGTCAAGTTCAATTGGTGCGTTGTATGGTGGGATTATCTCTGGCCAGTCGGTTCAGAATCCGGCCACTTGTCGTATACGCAATGTTACCCGGAGGAGGGTCTGGTGTTCGCTCTGTTTATTGACCATTATTATCTGGTACGTTGACTTTGGCTTTCTGCTTCGGCCAACACGTTTTGCATAATTCACATAATTTCAGCTTACGCTCTGCACTTTTTGCCCGTCTCTTTGGCTTTTATGCGGTATTTTGGCCACCGCTCGCTACTCATATTTTCATATTTTTCGGTTATGCATGCCCCAGTCGGTGATTGGTTTTCTCCCGTTTCGTGGAAATCAATTAAACACTCCACACTCAACGGCCAAGAAAGGTAAAACTCGGGCTAAAAAGAGAACGGGAACGCGCTTAAATATGGGAAAGAGTTTTTCAGGTTACGCCTGAATTTAGGCTCATTTGCACTTGATTGAACAGTTGAATTGCGAAAACGCTTAAATGGCATTTTATTGATAATGTTGACGGCGTACTCCGTCCACAATGTGGGTCATTATATATAGGTATTATGTGCCGATCAGTCGATCTGTCAGCCGGAGTCAGTCGGAAATTAGAATATGCTAATTTGTCTATCCATTGCCGCCGCTTGAATGTCTTGAATGGTTGTCGCGAATACTGTGAATGACTGACTGGCTGTGTTGGCCAAAGCCAACCGATTGGCTCACAAGCCGCAGTTAGACGTCATCTCTTATGACTTTGGCGGTACTTTTTGCCTCTTTTTGCCGTCTTAATGCGGTCAACACATTAGCGTTTGCAGCTTCAGCTTGGCCAGGTAAAATACCCAAATCACCTGATGTTTTAATTGCCTGGCGTCATCAGCTTTTTGCTTCTTTTTCCCCTCCCGCGAAAGAGAAAATACCCACAATATGTGGCGAGTTCGATAGAAAAGTATATGTCAGTGCCAGCAGAAATGGAATTTTAAGCGAGTGGCCCAGAAGATCCAAGTCTGTTTGCATATACCCGTGCATTTATTATATGGCCAAACAAAAGCCCAGCTAAACACTTTTCATTTTATCATTGTGGCTGCTCTGGCCGCCGCGCGCAGGCTAATTGAAATGTATAAAAAAGATTTGCACAAATCTAAAAATACGCATATATAACAATTTATTTTGCCAGCGATCGCAGCATGACGTGATTTAATTTTTGTGGCTCTTTGTATTTATTTTTTGTTGTTTGAGTGCGAAAGAATGGAAGAACGAGTTGTGGGGAAGCGAAGAGTCAGCAGGGCATTTCCAGTTGAACTCGAAGACAGAAACTTGAGATTGTTCTTCTTACTTTTTCCTTTTCTTTTTCTGTTCCTGCCTCTGTCAAGGTTGAACATTTGTCATCGTTTAAGTTTTTCGCCGTTGTCTGGCGCTGATTTCTCTCAATTTGCAAACGGTTTATTCTAACTTGGTCTCGTTTTCGTCATTAAGTGGCATTTGGTGGATGTGTTAGGGCCCCCTTATATGCCCCTCTCTAATTTCGGCTTCCTGTCGCCGCAAAACATCAAAGTGCATGTGTATAAAGGGGTATTAGACTCGTCCGAAAGTAATTAACTATGCCTCGTGATCGAATTATGATATCAGAGCTCTCCGATCGCCAATCGCCAATCGCCGATCGCTGATGGTGCAGAAGATTTTAGCAAAATGCAATTAACCGCATTGATTGCAATTGGCGCAACAGGTGGCAGCTGCAAATTACGAATTCAGCAATTGACAGATTTTGATAAATGTCCGAAGACCCACCTCCTCCCCCGGTGAAAGTTCCGTTTATGCATCTCAAGTCGTGGCAATTTGTCAACACCAAAGCCAAAAGAAGACACTGTGTGGTGCCCGTTTAGCCAAAAGAAGTGACACAATTGCTGGAAGCTGCAAACCACTTTTCATATGTCTCCTCCGCTTTGCGGACGAATGGCCGCATAATGACACTGACCTTGGATTCCCCCTTGAGATCGTGCAGATTTATTTTTGCATGCTCGTGTGACGCCTCATTTCCAGTTGGTATTTTCCGCTCCGAGGGGCGGGGATCCCTCAATTATTTGCCCAGCAGTAGCAGCAGCTGCATGTTTGTGACCATTTCCAATTTTCAGCCTCATCGGATCGAAGGGCGAAAAGGGTACTAAAAACAAGGGAATCCCCCGCCGGGCGACACGTGCAGGAGGGGCAACCCTTATATTGTAGTTATTTTCAGCTTACAATACTTGCATGCAAATATGGTCCAACTGTTGAATAATTCAAGTCCGCGTTACAAATTGCAAATTGAGCTGGCTCTGCGACTGCAACTTAGAGCCACTCAGACAACACGGCATCTTTTCTAGATCTCGTCTATCTGTTGATTAGGCTTGGGCATCGCCATTGTGACACACGGAGGGAAAAACCGATGGTGGAATGGAATTTTATTTTACTTACTTGCTTATATGGCAGTGAAATATTTAAAAGATTTTTTCAAGACAGTTTTTAGATATATACAAAAAATATTTAATTGCTCTTTAAAAATTATCAATGTGTTATGGGGGATTTCCAAACCTAAATATTGAAATTCAAAATTATTGTTCTGCCTTAAATACCAGAAAAACTAAGAGATTTGTACATAAATACTTCAAATATCTCAAATTTTCGTTTGGTGTACAAGAGTTTCAGTTTTTGCGGTCAGAGGCTCAGGGCTTATCAGTGAGGGGGGCTTCAGAGGAGGTCGATCTAAACGAGCGCCAGTTGCACTTAAATTGCATCCACGAGACAGCCGTCAATCAGTTTGCGTGGCTCGTGGAAAGCGAGCAATAAACAGAAGATGTAGGGATTAAAAGCGGGCCGCTGACAATCTGCTCTGATTAAGCAACCGAGTGCAACTGCCCAAGGCCCCAACCTCTTCACCTCCTCCGCCCCTTAAGAATAGTCAGCTGGAGATTCTCCAGTTCTCATTGGATTTGAGTCACTCCTCTGCGGCCTTTTTGGTGGGTCAGGTGCTTCGCTGATGTCACGGAGCTCTTTGGCGGAAAACAAACGAGTGAAATATCAATTACCCTTCGCACAGATAGCGTCAAATACTCGGGCTTGAACGGCGGCGATAAGCGAATCTAACACCGATAACGTCTGTCGATAGGGTTTGGTTTGGTCTTTGGCAGGAGGAAAAGCTAGGGGTAGGAAGATGGTGGAAGTTGGTAGAATATGGCGATGACGCAACGAGTGACGAAGACAGGTTGCCAAGCAAAGATAATTGCCAAAGAAAGCTCAGTTAGTTTCCGTTCAAAGGTGGAGTCAGTCAGATCGAAAATCATCTAAATCACCGCATAAGAAATGTATTTCTAGGTCTTGCATTCTGTTTTTGTGAGTACTTAAATTTTAATTACTTGGCTACACACATATTTCTTTGTTTTAAACAAATATTTTTAGAAGCAGGTAAATAACCCAAGTCGTGTGATTTTTTGGGAAAAGTGAGTCATAATTTTTCACATTTTTATTTATTTAAAACAGAAAGTCATACAAATTCGTAGAAGTATAACAAATGTATGTAATTATTCAGGATATTAATTAATTGCGATTTAAGGTGTTTTTTGATTACGCATCATAAGTAAATAACTTTTTTAAACCAGTTATAAAAGACGAAAAGGAACTTTGAAGTTCGAAACACTTATTCAAGACGAATGTTCATCGAAGTTTTAATCTCTTCACTTAATGTGCGTCATCGATTTCTTAGAAATGATTGTTGTTTAATATTAAAAACCTCTTTCATTTATTTTGTAAGTTATTAAAGATTTCTACTGACGTTTTCTTCTGCTCTTCTCCCTTGCAGATAAGACTCCAAGAGAGGAAGTAAGAAGGATCCACTGCCAGCACAGCACCCTCAAACCATCTTCACAGCCATGGAACGCGTCCACCTGACCGCCTGGCTGGCCCTGCTCCTCTTTGTGGTCGCCACTGCCACGCCCACTCCGGCAGCCGCTCGCCCGCCCACCGACTGCCCGGCGGACTGCATCTGCAGCCTGTCGCAGCACACGCACAAGCCACTTTACCACCTCAAGTGCAACAGCACCCAGGGTCTGCGGCTGGCCGAGAAGTCCTTCCAGTCGACGGTGCCGGTGCACTCGATCGACCTGTCGCACCTGAACCTCACCCGGCTGAGCCATGTGCTGGACAAGCTGCCGGAGCTGACCTCCGCCGATCTGTCGCACAACGAGCTCACGGATCTGGGCCACCTGGGCAAGGGTTTGAAGCGACTGAGCCTGAAGCACAACCGCCTCACCTCGGACAAGCTGAGGAAGCTGCCGCAGCATCTGCAGGTGCTCAACCTGCAGCACAACAACATCACCACCCTGCCCCTCGAGCTGACCCACATGCACCAGCTGCGCCAGCTGGAGCTCAGCCACAACGCCATCAACTGCTCCTGCCAGACGCTGGAGGTGCGCAACTGGCTGGTGGAGCGCATTGTCTACATGGAGCACCCCGTGATCTGCTCCCATCCCCTGGAGTTCCGGGGTCGCCCCTGGCTGCAGCTGAAGCAGGACGAGATCTGCAAGAAGGAGCAGTACCAGTGGTTCGACTCCGAGGCCGATGAGAACGAGCTGATGATGGGCGACCAGCCGGCTGTGGCTGCCTCCGGCGAGCATGAGGACGAGGATGAACTGGTCAAGGACTTCCTGCCCATTGACCGAAAGGTCGTTGCCACCTCCAAGAAGGCTCGTTCGCCGCAGGAGCCGCTGCCCGGTGATTTGGTTGAAGGATCAGGAGATTTGAGTGAACGAAACATGGAGCTTAAGGTGGCCAAGGAGGAGGAGCCAGAGGCGGCGGAGTCCCAAGATGCCAAGACTGTGGTCGAAACGCCCGAAATCGCGGAGAAGATCGTGAAGGACGATGAGGACGAAGAGGGCTCTGGCAGCGGTGGCGGTCCCATCATCGTTCCCGACCTCTCCAAGGTGAAGATCGCCTCGGAGGACGAACTGGATGGCAAGCTGGAGGACAGCGATGTGAAGCCCGTGGAGAACCCGGAGACCGTCTTCTCCAACGGCTTTGGCATCTTCAAGGGCGGCGACCAGGAGGAGAAGAAGCCCGTGGAGGAGGAGGCCATTGTGCCGGTGGTGCTGACCAAACTGGAGACCGATGTGGTGACCGATGGGCCGCTGGACGACAGCAAGGAGTCCGCCGACATCCTGACCGCCAAGGTGGGCAAGTCCAAGGACGACAGCAGCGCCATCTACTATCTGCTGGCGGTGATTGGACTGATTGTGGTCGGACTGGTGCTCTTTGTGGCCATCAAGCGTTGCAAGTACGACAGCAATGCCGCCGCCCGCGATGCGGAGGCCCAGAGGCAGACGGAGCTGCTGGACATGGACAAGAAGCAGCTGGGCAAGCCGCTGCACAAGAATGGCCATGGCAACGGGCAGGAGCACTCCCCCCTGATTGGTGAGAAGACGAAGCTGGACGAGGCCCAGATTGTGAAGAAGCCGTATCCCGAGAACGGAGATACCAAGGATGCAGCTAACCAGCAGCCGTTGCTCAATGGCAACGGATCGGCAAATGGAGCTGCCAAGGAGGAGCCCGCCCCCCATGAGTACTACCCCATCTCGCCGCGCTACCCCACCCCCCAGTCGCCGAGGGCTTCGAAGTACTCACAGCAGCAGCAGCAGCAGAACGCCGAGCAGAATAACAACAACGAACCGGATGGAGCCTACCTGCCCTCGTCCCCGAAATCCGGAAGATACTCGCCCGTCTACTCGCCCGAAACGGGTCGCGTTAAGATCAAGCTGACGGAGACCCCGAAGCCCAAGACCCCCATGCTGGTCACGCGCAGCAAGTCGAATGCCGGGGACATCATCACCACGCCCGTCAGGCCCATCGAACCCACCCACACCCACCAGGTGATCAATGGCCACTGATCTGGGCCAGCCATCAAAACTCTCGACACAGCCCGACCTTCCCGACTCGCCCCCAAGAATGTTACCCCCTTCATTCCGATCGGATTTGACATGAGATTCTATTCTATGGATGCAGAAATCTCTGATCGGTTTTTGGAAAGGCAGGGAACTGGGGTGTAATCCCTCCTCAGCTTCATCACCAACAATATGCAACATCTAGAATAAAACAGAAGAAACTGAAGCCGAGGCGACGACAACAGCAAACTATTCGAGTTAAGCACCCAACTCCCCCTCTTAAGTGTGACCGACAAGTAGTGTTTTAGCCATAAGTAAATTAATTACTCCTAAGCGTAAATCTAGTTTAATACCAAAGTTAAAAAATATATGCGTATAAAAATCGTCGAGTGCAAAAATATCAATGAACCGGGGTCGAAAAACGGCAAGGAGATAACGTAGATAACTCTTTTGAATGATAAACGCTTTCAACCTGCATCTGCATGTGATGTTCACACCATACTTACTGTATATGTACTTTTATAACCTACCTATATACTGTAAACTACTTAAGCCTCGTTCTCTTGTGAAATTATTATGTGTGAATTCATTAAATGCGAGCGAATTTTGAAATTAATCCTCGTTTGTTTTTATTTCTGTGAATTCCCGAATCTGAAAAGTATTTATTCTTCTATGTTTATTTATATGATCAAAACGGAGCTCAGCTCTACTTGGAAGTCCTCAGAGAGGACAAAAACACAAAACTTGATATCAAAACTTTTGTGTGTTTAAGGTGGTATAACAGTCGTTTTCTTAAACTCTCCTGGTGCGCTTCGTCACTACGTGTACTGCCGTCCACAGTGGTGGTAATGGACTAATGGAACTAATGGTAATGAAACAGCTACAAACTGTTTAGTTTGTTATGTAGATGGCGCCACATGCAAAGCAAACTATCCAGGTTTCGAACCATGTACAAGTTGCAGTATATTTTTCAGAAGTTTTAGCTACCAAGAGAGCTTTCACTCATTTTCAAATTATTTGAGTCAAAATTCAGTTTTGAAAAACTTGGATTATTATTTGCTTAATATTGGAATTATTTTTGTGACACCAAGATTTGCTTTTAGGGGGAAATACCTTATAGGCTTTATAGATATGGAATATGGACATGTATTTTTTATTAGCAGCCTTCTTTCTTGGAAAAAAGTTCTTTAATATTAAAGATTCCATTAATATTAAAGAAATCCACAGCGATAGATACCAATAATGAATTCTCAAAAATGTAAGTATATTTAGCGGTGCATTTAAATAGTCTTATGGATATGGTAACAGGTCGGAAATGACTAATAATATGTGTTATTTGCGGTGTGGGCCTAAAATAAAGTCTCTCGCATGGGCTTGTGGACCAGGACGTGGTGTTCGGAGTCGCTGGAGGAACTATCGGCGGCATTGGCCGCTGTGAAACTGCCGCTCACCCGCCGACTGGCCGAGTTCTTCCGCTTCTTGCGCTTTCCCCGCTCCAAATCCGGTTCCCCATCCGATCGAGAGACAGTTGATCGATTGTCATCCGGCAGGGACTTGAGTTCCGGCTCCTCCAGCTCCTGGAAATCGCTGGCGATGGTGGACGAGGAGGGCTGCTTCTTGGCCGCACTGAAGTAGTCCTCGATGGCGGGATCGAGTTCCAGGACGGGACTCTGTTGCAGTGTGTACACCTGGGCGCTGACCTTCATGGTGGGCGGTGTTAGGATCGGGGTCTTTGGCTTCCTCTTGGCAAAGGGACTACCATGTTTGCTGCCCACATAATCGTATTCCGGATCCGTCAGGAACTCCACGCTGTCGGCCATCATATTTACCCTCTTGAACGGAGGAATCTCGGCTATTTTGGGCCTACGCTTCGTGTAGGGACTATTTTCGTAGCTCTGAAAGTTGCCGATCTGCTCGGCACTCTGCAGGTTCTGGGTCTTCAGGTGGGCCGCCGGGAATCGCGAGTCCTCGATGCTGAAGCGCCGACTACCCGACTGATTGTACTCCATGTAACCGGTTCGCCTGTAAGGTCCATACTGGGCGGTTCTCTCCTTGTCCCGGTTCGAGAGCATCTCCACGCTGCGGAATCGCTGGCGGGAGTCCAGCTGCAGTCCGTCCTCCGCCTCCGACTGGGATCCCTCACCGTCGGCCTGGGTTTGTGAACGTCTCAGCTTCCGGGAGTTGCGAGCTCTTTCGGGTCCCGAGAGATCCATCATCGACTTCACCGGCCTGACCAACTTGGGCATTCGCAGAGCGTCCTCGTAGGAGGGCAGCAGACTTATCTCCTGGGTATGTTGCAAACTGGGAGTGGCGTCCTCCAGCAGAATGCGGGAGTTTAGATCTCGTCTGTAAGGGAAAAAATGGTTAAGATTGAGTAGTAAGTAATTAATATGGTTCCATTCTTACATGCGTCGCAGCTCATCATCGTTCTCCTCGAACTCCCTGTCACTCTGCCGGATTTTCCGCTTCCTCAGGAACTTTTGGAGGCAGGCATAGCCCAGGACCAGAGCACCCAGCCCCAGCAGGGTTATCATAATGACGGACCAGGCCTTCTCACCACCGCTACTACTCCTGGCATTCACAATCCACACATCCGCACAGGCAAACTCCCAGAGTTTTCCATAGAAAATAGCAGGAGCCGCACAGCGCAAGTGATTTTTGTCTTTTATCTATGGGAGTAAAGCAAAAGTTAAGAGATTAGTGTATCAACTTAGAGCCCAAACAAACCTTAGCTGGTTTAGATGTCAGAAAGTCGTAGAAGTCCACGAAGAGCGGACTGTGGCAGTCGCAAATCCAGGGATTGTCGCCCAACCACAACTGATCGAGGTACTTATTGCCACTAAAGTAATGGGGTGGAATGGGACTCGTGAGACGATTGCCATTCAGGTGGAGGTCCGCCAACTCGGAAAACTCTCTGAAGGTGTTGTTGCGAACGGTAGTTAGCCTGAAATCGAAAATCTATTACTTACTGTTATATAAATATGAAATGCAAGGGCTATGTTCACCTGCAGTTGGCTAGATTCAGTTGCTGCAGCGTTTCGGATCGCATAAAGGTGGGTATATCACTGATTAGATTGTTGGATAAGTCCAACTTTTGAATGGCCGACAGACTGGACAATGCGGTGCTGTCAATGGCGGTAATCTCACACCAACTCATGTTTATGGTGCGCACCGAATTGGACACGATTTTGGTCAACTTCTGCAGGACATTGCGACTGAGATTGAGCTCCACCAGCACATCGTTGTTGCGAACAAAGTTCCTGTCCAGCCGGGCTATTTCGTTGAATGCCAGATTCAGCACCTTCAATCGCTTCAGATTGGCAAAGGCATCTTGGCCAATCAATCGCAGGACGTTCTGCGAGAGATCCAGAACCTCCAGCATGGTGTTGTTAGCAAAGGTGTTGGCATCCACGACCCTCAGCAGATTTCCGCGCAATCGAATCTCCGTCAGCTGGGGCAGTCCACTGAGTTCTATCTCATCCAAGTTGCAATAGGAGAGATCCAACCTGCGCAGCACGTAGGTCAGTATGGGATCCTCCGAGAGGCTGTCGAACTGAAGTTGCGTGTTGCGGGACAAGTTCAGGGCCTCGAGATTTTGTAGGGCATCGAGAAAGAAGCCGGATAGCTCCGTAATGCTGCAGTTACTCAGGTCCAGGGCCCTCAGGGTTCTCGACGGCAGGGCCGCTATTTGGGCCAGTTTATTGTTGGCCAGATTGAGGCGTTCCAGGCTGGGCAGCTGATTGACCAGCTGGTCACCGCCAACGGTGGTGATTTCACAGGAGGAAAGCTCCAGTTCGGTCAGCGATGAACTGGTCAGCAGCTCGAAGCTCTCGCCGGTGCCAAAACTACCCAATCGATTGCCATCGAGGGCCAAACGCTTGAGACTCGGTGCATATTTGAAGGCCTCGTTGGGAGTGAGGGCTTCCCAGGAATCTATGGAGTTATTCGCCAGCAGCAGAGTTCTCAGCGATGTGAAACCAATGAGGGTCTTACTTTCAATGGCCGAGATGTGGTTGTTGGACAGATCCAGGTAGATCAGCGAGTCTATGTCCGCGTATTGGGTGGGGAACTCGCCGAATTTGTTTCCCGACAGATCCAGATGCTCCACGGGAATCCCATCGAAGCTCGGATAGGTCTGGAGACTCCTCCTCGAGCAGTCGGCATACAAACTGTCCACCACCCAAGTGCAACGACAGGGCCAAGGGCAGTTGACTGCCGAGCAGGAAGAGGTGATCCACAGGAGCGGGAAAATCAGATCCCAAGCGAACCTCATGTCTGCAATAGAGATGGTTGAAGCTGATTTAAGTTCGAGATCCACAATCTACTCTATTGCGCATGCATTTTTCATATACAGCCTTATCACCGGACACTTTTTGTTTTCAACCTTCGTCTCTGTGGGTTTTGCTTAAACGCAATTACAAATTGCGACGATTCCAAGGCGTTTGTGACGTCACAGTTAGCCCAAACTTATTCACCTGTTGAATTGCTGCCTCTCGTATTTCCCCTTCGAACTGCACTCCTCTTATCTTATCGTTCGAAAAAGTAGAGCACCCAAACAGAGAACCAAACCGGGAAGGAGTTTCCAGCACTGAGGAGTCTTGAAATCTGATATTACAATTTATAATTTAACTGCCATTCGGATGCAGCCACGCCCTCAGCATTTTTCACTTTGTGGTTAAATGTTTTTGGAATTCCGGCCTATTTTATTGGGTTTTCAAGAGGGTCGCCGCGCAACTGCTGGTCTAATACTGGCCGACTGAGGAAAATTACTCACCTGCTGGCCGCTGGCGGCGTTCATCGGGCATTCGGCAACGGCTTCCACTACGACTGATAAGATAAGCCGCTGATAAGACCGCCGTTTGCATGGGGCAACGAGCAGTGTGGCAAAGCGCACCACTACTTGAATTTCCCGGGCAAACGGGTTACGGAATTTCGAAAAAATACTAGAAAACCTTAGCGGATATTCAAACCTTAGCCGACATCAAAATATTTTGAAATATCTGGATGATTCTGGATATAATTTGATTTTTCAAACAGTTTTTGTTGTTAAAACTTTTTATTTCGAATTTTTTTATTTTTGACATAGCTTTTAAAAATATTGTCAGCACTAAGATTTTCTATATTTTAAGCCTAATCGATTGGGAATATTTGTACTAACTTAACGCAGTATGATTTTATTTAGTTAATAGTTGTTCCATGTTCTGGGTATGGTTTAAGGTGGTTTTTCCATACTTTTGGCGGTTGTCGCAAAATCGAAGTTAGCGATACGAAAAACGATCCTTGAAATCTTTTTTAATGTTTTGTCATTTGGACAGCTGCAAAGGAAAATTCCTGAGTCGAAAAGAGGATAATTCCTCAGTCGAAAAGAAGACAAAATATTTGGCATTAATTTAGTGCATAAATTTAGTGAAATATATAATCATCATGTGGTAATGTCTGGCATTTCATTATGAAAGAATAATAGAGTGTACAATGTAATTCTTTTTTTTTTGGCTAACCGTTTTTTGTTTCTGTTACTTGCCACTTTAAGTTGATTTTTTAAAAGGCTCTAAGTCCATTACAGCATATGTCAACAAATCAACCGTGAGTACTTGCAGAGATGGCAACAAATGGAGTCGTTTAAGACTGAATAAACTTGTCACCCACTGAACGTGCAACTGTTTGAATGGGGAATCCGGTACCAGAGTCAGACAACTCCTTTTTCGTCTCCGGCAGCCGCTGATAGGGCATTAAAATTACCCATACCCATTCCCGGCGGAGGATTCGGCCGGAGTGCAGCAGCGACCTGCAGACACCCGTAACCGGATTTATTGTAATGAAGCGTGAGCAAAACAGAAACGACGCCTCAGACGACAGCGCGATAAAGATGCAGTGCGAAATGAAAAATAAGACGAACCCATTCCCAGGGAGCAAATAAAAAACAGGAGTCCCATCGCTGACGTGTTGACAGCAACATATTTGTGGCTTGATTACGGTGAGGAGCGGTAAGGCAACAGGAAATATTCGAAGTACTCTTAGATAAGAAGAAGAAAAACAGTTGTAGAAAAATAAACGAACTTTGTGTACACTTCGAAGGTGAAATAAAAAAACTAAAACCCAAAAAAAAATTGATATGATACGATGATCAATTTGATGTTATGTGGTATCACACTTGACTTGATATGGTACAATTTTGAATGTTCTTTTTACCTTCCACTCACGTAATTTTAGTCGCCATATTGCATATTGCTCTCTTTTCCGAAGTCAGAGAATCTTCCAGAGAGAGAGAGAGAGAAATCGGTATTGCATGGTAAAAACGATATGCGCATATCGATTTGATCAACGCATGTTTTTATTTTGTGTGTTGCTAATACTCTAAAGTTAAAATCGAGTTTAAAATATTGTTGCCATTATACAAATCAACTTATTTTGATGATATTTTTCACTTGATAATTAAATCCAGGGAGCAATGTACTCCCTCAGATTTCTAGAGAACTTGAAGAGAACGATTTTAAATGGTTAGCGACGATACAAATAGAAATAAGTTGATGCCCTGCCTTTCGGGGGTTGGGGCAAATCAGGAGCAGAGGGCAACAAAGAAATCCAAGGAGAATGCAGAAGTCGGCGTAATGCCGCGACTGATAAGCTCGTCAGGATACGACCCCCGACCCCTCGCGGGTCTCTCTGATTTTTCCAAACTGTTCACTATTGAGGACGAAAATGAGCAGGGATGCGCAGGGATGCTGCTCTCCCACTCAAGTTTGCCGCGTCCTTGCCGTTTTAATGAATCGCAACGGCTTTGTTGCCGAGACGCCTTTTGTCCTGGCCTTCAGCTCCCAGCGCCGCCCCCTTCGCCCACTTTCCATGGGATAATTAGCGGCCGCCGCGATGCAAAGTCATCGCCGGCGTTGGGAATTCGCACAGTTGAAATCACAAGTTAATGCCGCATGGTCCAAGGACTTGGTCCTTTGTGTGCTTTTGTTAATGGATTGATTTTGATTTTGAATTTTCTCCCGTCTAATCTGGGCTGACTTAGAGCTGTCGCGGCCTTCGCTCCGTTTTATTGGGCAATTTCCAGCGGTTTTTTAATAAGAAATGAAGTGCTTTTTATTTATTTTCGCAGCGTTAAGTCGGGGCAAAGGAATCGCGGAGTGTGCCACCGTTTACCACCCGGAGTGCAGTCAAAGTTAAAGTTAAGTTGAATGACAGCTGCGGTGTCGAGAGATAAGCACTCCACCCACTCACCCAACCCAACTGTCCATCTGCCAGAGGCGGAAAAAGTGAAGAGCTGATAAAGGGAAATGCGAACTCAGGTGAAGAGGCAGGAAGTCCTGGCGAGTGGGAAATGGACACGGAGTGGAAATGGAGGTGCGATGGCCCATCGACATCCTGCTAGCTTGCTGGCTTAGCATTTCCGCAGATGTCATAAAGATATCTTCGCCATTATGACTCTTCTAATCGGCCGCATCATTGAAATGTGGGCCACACACTCCCCCGCTCCGCCCCCAAAACGACCTCTCATTCCGGTGGCTTTGATTATATTTTTATGCCTTGAGATTCGCTTTTTTTATTGTCACTCTGGGATGGAGAGAAACAATTTGCTTCTATCTGCAGGACGATACGTCACAAGGAGTACCATTTTTGATACACAAACATAACATAAATAAATGTTGGGTGGAGGGGGGCGATAAAGCAAGGGAGTAGACCCCTCAATTTGCATATTCTTAGCCCTGGAATGCCTTATAGACAATTATATTTATTATTCAGTTATGCCGCCAAGGGGGTGGGTGGGTGCTTACATAAGTTGAACCAAAGACATTCCCATTTAATGCTTGCCATTCTAGATTTTTAGCTCGAGTCAAAGGAAACGTTCCGGGGAAAATATCTTGAATAGCAATAAATTTCGATTTTCGTCAACTTAAATGTTTTATGAATTATAAGCTTAAGACGCGCCGAGGCAACCGAGACCACCACCCACTCACCCCTTTTTCTTTGGGAAGGGGTTTTCGGAAGGGCAGGAGCACACCTTACGCCGAAAACTTTGTTCCTCTGACAGCAGGCAAAGATTTAGACAAAGACTCCAAACTCCAGAGCAAATGCCAGCTACTGATAGCAGCTCCTGCCACCTCCAGGGGTTGGGGTGAGATTTAAAAAGCCAGCCTCCCGAATGCCATCTGCAGGGGCGTAAAGGAAGGGGGTATAAAAAAGCAAGACCAGGAAGATGTACCCAAGCCTTTCGCCAGGCCAGCAAAGAATGCCATAAATCAATTCGTATTAGTTTTATGAAATTTATACCTGCGGCGCACCACCAGCCAGCAGACAGCCATGGGGAAAAATCTGGCCAGAGGATGGGGGGTGGCGGAGTGGGCCAGAAAGTCCTTCGGCGGTTTAATGAGCAAATCTTTTTTGGCAACGCCATCTCGGCATCAGCAGAAAGCGTTTGGCGCCAAGCGTTTCCAATTAAAAGCATAATTCATTCGCAGGGCTTAGTATCAGGCTGAGTCACTCTGCAGATGCTCCGGGGAAAATAAAGATGTATGTAAACCTAAAACAGGAAATACCTTCAAAATTATTATTTGTTATAATGTTAAAGAAACAAGAAAAAGTATATCACATATAATGTCGTTTAACTTTGTTTATTTCTTTAAAAATGTAAAACTTTCTGTTCAAAAAAACCCATGAATACAGTAATATTGCAAAGTGAAAAAAATGAGGCATTCAAAAAGTCTGCAACAAACAATTTTCTTTAAAGACCTTTCACAACCAAATCCTGTAATCATCACTAATAGTCATATCGACTACTCAGAGAATCGAATTTAATAAACTTAAAAATACACTTATAAATAATATCTTAAACTTAATAATTTCCTAGAGACAATAACAACATTTAAAAGTCACACAAAAAAGCCCTCTTCAAGTTGAGTTGAAAAATCTTCCACCTTTTAGTTGTTGATCGTTGGACGCTGCCCAGCGGCGCAAATGAATGGGAAACTTTGAATTATCGCCTGACAATGGGATTATCATTTTTATATTTTTCCGCCTGCCCAGTGACCAGTGGGAGAAAGTGGGAGAAGGTGGTGGCCTGTGGGTGGGATGTGGGCCAAACGGCAGTCGGCCTTGGCTTAGCCTCCCTGGGGGGTAATTCACAGTTGCCATAATTATCATCGTAAATTATGGGCAAGTAAAAGTTTTGGATTTTATGAAAATGAATTGAGATTGAGCTCGGGCTTGGGCTTGGCTCTCTGTAGGAAAATCTGAAGGCGCAAACGGCAGCCCATGAATCCGCAATTGATTTAAATAGTCCTAACAGCCAAGACGGTAAATCAAGCAGTCGGCAATCTAGCTTGTGCATCTCCGAACCCCCAACTCCCGGCTTCCAGCTCCTAGAGCAACAATTTTTTGGGGCAATAATCTGGCGAACCGGGAGAGCCGAGGAGTGTCATAAATAATAATTAAACAACTCGCGTTGTTAAGTCTTTTTATTACGCGCCCAAGACAAACGACAGTTGACAGCGGGGCAGGATGCAGAAGGATGCAAAGGGATAAGGTGCCAAAAAGACAAGACAAGGGAAGGCTTAGAGTGGTAGCATGTGCGCCAAGCACACACACTCTTTCCACTCCCCCACCCTCCAAAGGAAGCACAATTTTCCGCGCAAATACTTTCCTACGACCTGCAGAGTCCGGAAAAGCACATGAGCGCCGAGACATGGGATTCGCAATGGCAGGGGCAGGGGCTGTCTGCCCTCGCATCCTGTTCTCCTAGGCAGGTGCTTGTCCCGCCTCACAGGGGATTTTAAGACGTAATTAAGATAATAAATAATAATCGCCCAATGCAGGCGGGCATTAAGTGGGGAGTGTGAGGGTGTCTTGAGCTATGTTTTTCCACTCACTCCCCAAAAAGTAGCCCATCGTACGTGTCCGCCTAAGCCCCCCTGTCATATTCTTACGCAAAATCTAGATAGACCAGTTGTAATTTGCCGCTGACCCGGGCTAAAGTGGGTGGTTTCGTAGCCCCTTTGGAAAATCTAGTTTCATGACCGTTTCAAGTTTCTGGCCCTTAAAATTAATTATTATTTAATGATCTCCATTAAAGACTAGCATTTGGGGTTTGTTCTATTAGAAGCTATTATAACTAACGGATTAAATTTATGAAAATAAAAAAACCCAACAGTTTTTAAAAGTAGGTATCATTTATAAAACTTAAATTTATAGGCAAGCTGCTCTGTCCAATTCATAATCGACTATTCTGTAATCCCAAAATACTGCTCTATAAGCTTTCTAATCAGCCTGGACAATTTATTACTCATCCCGGTTATTGGCTTTCTTTTGTTTTCCCTTTTCTAAAGGGGCTCATTAACTAATTTGGCCAAGATGAAGATGTCTTTCCTGTACTTTCCTTATTTTCTCCGTTTTTCTTTACCCTCGACGGTCGTGTAAAGTGAATGTCACAAATCAAAGCGGAATTATTATTACTTATGACCATTTAATTGGACTTGCGTTATATTCATTTGACTTTCGTTACGGTTTGTTTGCGCACTCAATTTGGCAAATGAATCGCCACCACCAAACGTAAAGGGGGTGGTGGGTGGATGGGTGGTGAGAGCAAACCGCTGGCGAACCAACCACCAAACCACTGTCAACTATTTTGGCTCGCACGCTCATTAGTTTTATTGCCCCGCATATCAGTCAAAGCCGCAAAACTATTTATGTCCCACCCTCCTGGTGAACTTGTCCTTTTCCCCGCCCGCTGTCCTTTTTGGCTCTGCAAGAGCCCTTTTTGTTTCGTCCGCTCTAATTGCCGCCAAGAAATTTGTCTTTGATGGCGAATCCTCGTAATGGTGCAGTGATCTCCAGCTGAATTCAATAGATATTTCAATATCTTTATAAGGGGTTCGGACAGCACTTAATTATGATTGCATTATTCAGATTTATTCCCTATTTGGCGTCATTAAGGGCATATGAAAAAGTTTTCGAAAGCAAGATTTATGCTCCTCTGCGTGGAGTGGCAACCCACCTTTGAGCCACCTCGAAAGTTGGCCAACAGCCGCAAGTGCGGCGTAGTTAACTATGTAAATGTTTTCTTTTCCGCTCGCCTCCTGTTTATGTATATTTACATTTAATGCTACCGCCCCGCCCCCTCGGACCACCCACCATTTTGACCTGCAGTTGGAGCTCTGGAGGGGGCGTGGCTGTAATTTCATTCGTGAGCCAACCACACCGAGCGGTGCAAAGTGCTGGCAATTTTAATTAATGGATAAAGTTATGCGGAATTCTCGTATAGAGCTACATCCCGGAGCTTGGAGGGCTTCTCAGTTAGCAGGAGCTTCTTGGCCAGGAATTAAATATTTTGGGTAAATATTTATGTTTGCGAAGTGGAGGGAATTCCAAAGTTGCAGATACCTGGAATGATTTACATCGCTTTGGAGTTTATAATTTCTTTAAATGCGCAAGAAATCGGTAAACTATGCAACAGTTTCGCACTTTATTACGAAATCCATAAATAAGCAGCCGCAGTCCAATATGCTGCGGCCCAAAGATATGCTATAAATTCGAGCGCTGACTCCTTCCCACAATTTTAATTTAAAAGTTTGCGATAACAAATGATGCACATCCCCTGAACACTCCCACAAACCACACACACACGTGTACTTAAAATAAGAAATAATGTTGACTGCTGATTTAGTAACCGCACCGAACCCAACCCCCTGAAAAACCCACCATAACCATCGGTATCTGGCAATGTCTGCGGGATGTAACAAAGGCGAGCGAAATAAAGAAATGAAAATAAGTAAACTTTGGCGCTAATAAATTGTTTCATATCTGCGGCCAAGATGCGGGAGGGCGGAAGATAACTCATACGCCCCGTGCCACAATTCATGCTACAAACGAAGCCAAATGTGCTGCTCATATTGCCATTTTTTCTGCGTTTCCCGTACATATGCATATTTATTTCCCTTCGCTTATCAGTGACTTACCGAAAATGTGGAAAAAAGGCGAGAAAGAAATAAAGCAAAGATCTGGCACATATGAGAAATTGCCAAACACATTACGACTGCAGCAGCACATTAGCCCAAGGCTTCAGTAGAAAATGAGAAATTTGAATATTACCCCATTCTTTCCTTGCAATGCATTCCTGGATAATTTATGAACACCTTAATTATGTGTCTGAAAAATCTAGACTTTATTCTTAATAGGAACATTTAAAATTGGTTCGTTACAAAATAATTAGCTTTCTAAGTTAGAAATTAATTAGAAACCTACTTCCTGTTTAGTGAAATAAAATATATTTTATATCCGAAGTTTATCCTCATGCTAATAAACAGCATTCAGGTTTTTCTGATTAATCACCGTATATTAAAGCTTATCGCCAGATTTTTAAAACGAATAAGCAACGAAGCCTAATCTACTTTCTTTATGCAAATTCCATCACTTTTCTTGCTACTCACCCTCTGCCATTCATCGCCAATGAAAAGTCTTCATTTGAATTTGACATTTAAAATTGTATTTATTTAATCATTTAATAATTGCTGGGGAATATATTTCTATTTATATTATATATAAAGATGTGTGGATGTTTTCGCTGTATGTCTGTCTGTGTTACTTGTGTGTGTGTCTGCGTATCGATGCTTGCAATAAATTACAATATTATTTGAATTAAGTTTATTATCTATCTGAAGGCTTACGAAACTAATGGAACAATTTGTAAAACATTTTATTTCAGTGTGTAGATTTAGTTACGTGTCCGAAGTGGAGTGGATAGCAACGAAGCTGATTGGGTCGCTGGATTTTGGGGGTTGGTATTAGATACCAACGAATCGTATGTTATACATTCTATATGCGATATCCGTGTGCATGGATCGAAGGGGATATGTGCTAGGCGTGGGAAGGGGCTTCTCAAATAAGGCAGGGCAACTAAACGTACTGGTACTGGTACTGGTAACTCGAACTTAACATTAACTTAAACTGCAGATTAAAATGCAACTAAAGCCGAAACAAAATTCACAATGCTCAAAGAATGCGTACCTAGGATAACATACATTATATACAGATCGCAGATCGCTTCTACGACTACGGTTCTCGAAAATTGGCTTTCTTTGGTTTGCTTATCCTTAACGAGCTGGCCCCCAAATGTGGCCGCCCTCCTTCTAATCAATGGCTAATAACTAGGTAGAAATAGATGCGGTTTAGGAGAGCCGTTTACTGGGTTAGGGTTAAGTTCTCTATAAATTACTCATACTGGTTCATGCAAGATCGTATTACTCATAAAGTGGCTTTATCTATTTGCTCTAATTTTCGCTAGATGCTCCTGGGCAACTGGTAACGCGTAACTGGGTTAGTTCTCGTTCTATAATACTTAGAGTTGGCTAAACTAGGGGATTACATATTTATGAGCTATCGTATATGGTATAGTATTTGTCATAGCTGCAGCCGTTGATTTTCCAGCTGCTTAAATTGGGTGTTGTGTGTTTGTGTGTCTCTCGTTCAACTATTTACAAGAAGAAATGCTGCTAATTTTGATTTCGAACTCCGGGCGGGGCTCCCTAATCTTAGTCCCGCTCCTCGTACTTGGGCACAAAAGAGGCCAGTCCTCCCAGCTGGGCGCACTGATTGCTGTCGTAGAGCGACATCTTGAGGCGCTTGCACTTGGCCCTGCGATTCTTGAACCAGAACTGCACATTTTTGCTCTCCAAACGCGGGAACTTTTGCCTGGAAAAGTAAGAAAAGATGGGATGGGAAATTAGTTAAAATTATTTTATGTAAAACAGAACAAAAAAATCTATTTAAAAAAATGTATACGTTTGACTAACAACTTATGAAATATATGAAATATTTATATAAAATATTTAACTACTCAAAATTATTACTTTAAATGATACCCAAAAAATTGAATTCTTCAAGATAGAAAGTAAAGATATCTCACCTATATGGCATGGTGTTCAGGTCCTCGGTGTACTTGAGGATGAGGTTGTGCGAGGGATGCGTGTTCATGGCGAACCACTGCTCCAGCTTGGGCACCTCGGTCACCGGATCGATGAAGGTGCGGTTCCGCTTGCGTCGCTCCTCGTTCGAGATGCCCGACAGGTTCAGACCGCCGCCGCCCATCAGGGCGTTCGGTTGGATTCCGGCTGCTGCCGCTGCGGCCGCGGCATGGTGATGCGGATGCCCGGCGGCCGCCTGGCCAAAGGCCGGGATGTAGTGGCTCATGTACATGAAGGACTGCGAGAACATCGAGTTGGGGACCATGGGGAAGGGCAGCTGGTCCTTGTGCGGCACCACGCCGCCGGCCAAGTCCGGCGAGGGCGAACGGAACTCGTCCAAGTGGCTGGCATCGTTTTCGTTGTCCTCCTCGTCCTCGTCCATGTCCAGGTCGTCGTCCTCCTCCTTGGGCGTGGCGCGTTTGGGCGTGGAACCCACATCCTGGTCATTGTGCGAGCCGCTGTTGTTGTGATTATTGTTGTTGAGTTGGTTGGCCGAGGCCAACTCCGATTGGGCATCCTGGGCGTCCTGGTGGCGATCCTCCGCGCCGGAGTTCTCCTTCTCGTTGTCCTGCATCTCATCCCGCGACTTCTCATGTCGATCCTCGTCGTTCAAGCTGCCATTCAAGCCATCGCCCTTGGCCTCGCGCTCCTGCTGCTGCTCCCGCTCCCGCTCCCCCGCCGCCTCCTCGTCGTCCTCGTCCATCAGCGGCGAGCTGCGATGCCGCTCGTGGGTGGTCAGCGAGAGGGGCAACTGCGGCGTGTTGGGCCTGCTCTGCTCCTCGTCCATGTCGTCGGAGTGCTGCGACATGGTGTCGATGTCCTCGGACTTCAGGCTGAGCGGGCTCTTCAGATAGTCGTGCGACATGGACAGGTTGCCCATGCTCATGGGCTGGCTGCCGGCACTGCTGCTGGAGTTCTGGCCCAAAGGGGCGTGCTGGCTGAGATAGCCATTCATGGCGGCATGTCCCAGAGCACTCATCGCACTGCCCAGGCTTCCGCCCCGCATCTCCGCCCGCTTCTGGGCCGCCCGAGCGTTCTTGAACCAATACACCACATTGTTCACATCCAGCGGCTTGCGACCCCGACGCGATTCCAGGGCATTCAGCTGCACCACATACGTCTGGATCTGCTGGCGCGAGGGATGCGGATTGTCGGCGAACCACTTCTGCAGCTTCGGCAGCTCCATCTCCGGGTCGAAGCTGGTGCGCATGCGAGTCTTCTGGTTGGGATACGGCGGACCATGGCCGCCACCGCCGCCCCCGTGATGGTGATGGTGGTGCAGCGATGGGTGCATGGGATGCACCAGCATGTTGCCGTGGTGTCCACCCACCGGAGCCTGTCCAGCGCCCGGATGATGGGCCGCCTCGTTGGCCAGCAACAGACTCTCCCGACTGCCCATCGATCCCAGGGGATGATTGCCGCCCGCTGCTCCGCCGGCTGCAGCCGCATGAGCCGCGGCAGCGGCCGCCGCCGCCATGGCCGTGCCCACCGGAAAGTCCATCTCGCCGGGCACCGCCACCGGAACTGGGACTGCCGAGGGACCACCCATGAAGGGCAGCATCTTGGGCGCCATGGCCGCCGCCTGGGGGGATAGCTGGTTGGACCACCACTGGTCGAATTTGCGGCGCAGGTCGTCAGAGATCTCTCCTCCCGGCAGGGCATAGGTGTTCTGGTGGGAACTCCGGCAGATCTGGGATAGCGTCACCTGGAAGAAGACAAAAAAAGTGTGTTGATCTGTTAATACTAGGTGCTTAAACATAATTGTATTCGTGGCCGAAGGACTTCAGTTTCCAGTGCCATTTTCTTTAAATTAATTTTAGTATTGTATACTATCTTTAATATGACAAAATAAAAAAAAAAAATAATTGTATTCTAAATATATTTAAAATAAAATAAATGTTAATATAATAATAATAGTAATAATAAGCAAATATTTAGAATCGTTTAATTCTTTGATGACTGCTTTGCAGCATTGAGCATTCATTGTAGAAACTAATTGGTTATTTTTATTCTTGAAAAACTTTAGTTTGATGGGTTATAACCATGAGACATACAAATTATGAGTGGAAACATTTCGGATTCCCCCTAAAAAGTATCGTAAGCAATAAATTCAAGATAATTTCAAAGCATTGGAATGGTCTAGAGTTGTGACAAATAAAAAAGGTAGTTATATATTTAATTTCCAATAAATGAAATCCCTATGGAAAGCAAAGTAGTTAGTAATCTTAGATTTTATTAAGCCAGAAATCATGTGTCATACACATGGAAATTAATGAAAACATTTTGTATTGCCCAATTGACTGATTGTATAATTAAGAATGCCTAACACAAGTGCTGTCATATGATGGTTAAACAAAAAACCATCGATTCGATCATCGGGCAATTTGGAAAACTGTGTTCCGTGTGGAAATCAGAGCGAAATGCACGGGATTAGTGGGGCCAACCTTGGGCCGGGGATTGCGTTTGCACTGAGCGACTGTCAACAGTAGCTGCACTAAGACCCCAGAGTCCGCCGGTCACTAAGCGGCTGTCATAAAAATCACAGTCGCCGGGTTTTGTAGTTGTGGTTGGAGTTGTGGTGGCGGTTGGCTTGTCCGGGGGCCTCAAGTGCCGGGATTTACTTAGCCATAAATGTGAGAGTGCGAGTGCGACTGCGAGTGCGAGTCGAAAATTGCCTATTACGATATATGTAGACCCTGGGGACTGATACCTGGGCGATACCATGCCGGCGAGCTGATATTAACAGACGGTGCCTCGAATCGAAGGCGATAAATAGATAGTCCCTGATAGGCAGCGACACATCAGCTTATGGCGATTAAAATTGAATTTACCCAACAGAAATAGAATCGAAACGCGATGAGTTGGCCGGGCCAAAGGGTGGTAGGTATGGCGTATTAAATGCTCACAGATACTGCTTTGTCTCCCAAACGGTGGAGAAAGATAATGTCTGGCTGTTTTGGTGGTTCGGCGGTTCGGTGGTTCCGCTGCGGTTCTCTAGCCTTTCCAGTGCTATCAGCTAAGGAGGCGCCCCAAATCACTTAAGCTGCTCAGAACACAGGCCAACTGGATGGGTGGGTTAGGTGGGGTAGACACCTAATTGTAAATAAAATGGGTTGACGCTTCTTACGTGGCGGGGTATTATTAAATTGATTTTCCTATCGCCGCACCCCAAAGCAAGGCGAAAGCAAAAGCAAAGCTCCTCAGTGGACAGTGTCAGACAACGAATGTGGAAATTATGGTAAATGCTTATCAGGTGATTAGGAGGGACGACAACTGCCGTGCTTTGCTTTGCTAATATTAATCGTGGGAAGGGGATCGGGGGGATCGGGGCCAATAAAATCACATTCACAATATCAATTGAAGGGTATTTCTGGCCGTGATTTCGTGTTGTTCATCGCCGACGATGATAGTGTACGAAGCATTTGATTTATGGCCCTAATGCACCGATATCGCCTCCCGCCCAGCGAATTGGGTCATGTGAGCAATGCAGTAGTGTGCAAACCCCTTCTGCAGGATTGCCAACTAAGCCTTCTAAACCGATTTCAATAAGGAAAACAAAAGCCACACAAGCCGACCGACTCACACATCCTGGAGAAAGGAGACAGGAGACCTGGCAACGTAAAGCTGATTAAAACCGAAAACTATTGCAGAAAAGGATTAGTTAAGTGAACCAAATAAATGAACTCGGCTTAACAAAATTTCTTTGTAGCTGCTATCAAAACATTTTCAATGAGTTTAATATTCCCCCAGCAGGCAGGACATGCAAAAGTTGTGCGTCTCTATATGTATGCTCATGCCTCCTCACATCACGCAAATTAGCGTCGCCACTTCTCATCCGGAGACATTTTTCGGCAAGTTTTGGCAACTCCGAGAAGGATAAGAGTACCAGAGGGGGATTCTCCGTAAACCGCTTATGAATCATTATAGAATTTTGTCGTCTTAGTGCCGAATTTTAAGTGAAAGTTCAAAGTGAATGTCTAATTGGCTGCCGAAGGGGCGGGCGGGCTGAAACTCACCTCATCCAGCGGGCATCCTGTGGAGCGGAGCACCGCATGCGACTGCAGCACCAGCAGCTTGAGCAGCTTGTCCTTGATCTCCCCGAAGGGCGAGGTCTTGGGCCGCAGGATCACGATCCTCAGCGTGATCACCGAGGTCAGTTCCCCCACAATATCGCTCACGGGCACCGCCGGGTTGTCCGATATCTGCTCTAGGGGAATGGGCTTCCAGTGTTTGATGATTAGAGAGCCTGTGGGTGGAGAAATTCCAGAGAGTTAGCATTACAAAAAAATATTCAATATTCTGCAACTTTGTTAGATTTATTTAGATATTTAATTATTATCCTTTAAATTATTATTACCATAAATAAAATATTTTTGTACGATTTAAGTGAATAAGCTGAAGTATTGATACACAGAAAATAAAAGTGTTGGAGGTTTATTTAATATTTTTAGGGATCACGTTATTCATATCAATTTAATATGAATAATGATTATTTTTTTTTTAATATTTTCAAAAACATAATACATTTGGTATTTTAAAACAGTATTTTTATACATTTTATGCAATGATAAAATGTCTAGTTAATATGTTTGAATCATAAATTTATCATATCAGCGTTTTATTGATATGAAATAATGTATAAATGATATTGATTTCTTTTGTCTGTGTAGACATTTTTTTCTAGGACTTATGTTGAGGTAACTGGGGTGTCGGTTTTGGACCACCAACCACTACTAACTGAATAACTTTCCAAATCGAACTAATATTTTTGTGGAAAGAGCTTGTTTATAGTCTTATAGGAACACCCACCTCTGGCTGTGTTGGCCACCTCCTGCGAGTAGCCCAGCCTCTGGAGGGCCGTCTGGACAATCTCGCTCCAGGGCGTGGCCGCCGCGATGATCACGTAGCTGTCCGTCTCGATGTTGGGCCGCCGCTTCCAGGGCTGGCGAGTGTCGATGGTCAGGGAGGCGTGCAGCGAGTGCACCGACTCCACCACACAGTGAAGTGGAAGTGATTTGGCTGGAAGGAGCAGGAGAAACGGGGGATAATGGTTGGTTAGAAATAATAGGTACTAATGTTAATAATTCAACGCTGCCACACTCGAGTGCAGTTTAATAATCGGTTTAGTTCAGTCTAGTTCCAAGTGCAAATCATCGACAAATTAAAATAAGCAATTAAAACATATTTGAAATGGGCCATTTTATGCAGATTCGCTCTACACCTCCGCACGCACCATGGCATTAAAATAAATTATTGCATGTTGCGGTTAGCCGCAAATGGTTTTAGCCGATTAAATATACCACCCATTTGAAGGGGTGGCTTCACAAACTATCCCCCAAAGCTGGCAGAAAGAACTTGAAATTTGGGAAATCACATTTTTGAAATTATGAACTATGCTCTTCCTTTCAATATCGCCCACCTGAACTTACATCCTGCCCCTACTAACCAGTTATCAAGGGCTTAAAATAAAATGGCAAAATTCAGAACATAGAAGTTATAGACATACTCTCCCAGGGCCAAAGTGGGCGTGGCCGTATTATTGAAGGGCCGAAGGGTTGAGGGGCACACAGCAAATAGGCTTAACGCCCCAGGTTCGGCCGACATAATGGTATTATTAATTATTCCAATTATAAAAATTGTAAGCAGCCAGAGATTGGCGAACGATTGGCATTTGCCGAGTCCACAGGTCCGGGCAGCTGAAAGCGTTTTAAAGAACGGCGCTCACGGGGAAAGTCGGGGAAAGCAGGGGAAAATCGGTGGAAATCGGACCAACCAAAAGTTCAGCCCAATTACGTGCGATTTTCATGCCATATTTTTGTGGGAGGCGTGTGTGTGCGCCATGCAAATCTTTTAATTGCCATGAAAACCTCATTGGGGGCCATCGGCATTAAAAATAAATACATCAGCCCCTCGACAACGTGTGTTTGTGCGTTGGCCATGCCGAGTTGAAAAGGAATAAAGAATTCAACTATAATGCATTGTTTGTCGCCGACGCAGATCAGATAGAACTTTAAGTGACGGAAGAGTTCCGATAATAATCACATTAAATTCAATAATTTTCGAAATATTCCGCCAGATATTAACGTAAAATGGAAATCGAAATTAGATTGCTGCCCCCATTATCCACCCACAAAACGCATTGTTTTGGCCTGAGCTCAATTTTCTCGTATTATGATGGCCATGGCCTCTCCCTTTTCCACCGAAAACTGGTCATTAGTGCAGCGTTCCGCTTCCCTGAATGAAAGTTCGTTGTGGGTCCTGTGCACAACCGTATTATAAACTCAATAAATCCATTATCCATGGAGCCATGATTCGCCGGAGCTAAAACAAAAGCGGATTTGGCCCACCTGCATATGTGTTTGGGTGGCAATTGCGTTTAGTGTGCGTGGTTTTAGGTGGCAGAGTGTGGAGCCCCAAAACCACCGAGCAGCCTCTAATTGTTGCATCTGAACTGGCATTTCAGCAACCACTGGCGGCCCACGGAATCGGCAGCTTTAAGTCACCCGGGCCAACGAGATGGCAGACAGAGCTTATCCTTATTAGCATTATCAGTGGCCCTGGCAGGAGGGCAAAAAAGCAGGATAGCAGGAAAAAAAACGGAGAAATGGTAAGTAATCGAGACAGTCGAAGCGGGCCAAAACAAATTGAATTAAGCGCGGGAGGAAAACTGTTTGAGGGCATTAAATCTTGGCGTGGCAGCCAGACGACTTCTACTGGGCGAGCTCCCCTGGTAAGCCGACAAACGATTTGTAAATGAACTCTACTTTCCGGGGGCTAAGACGCTATCCATCCCACCAGCCCTACTCATCGAATCGAATCCCCGCGAACCGGCACGCGGCTTAAGATTTATTAACCTGCATCGATGGCGGCAGAAATAATCAAGTTCAGTCATCGCAATCAAGCGAAATTGGAAAATTCCCAGCTCAAGGAGAATGGCAGCGAAGGTAACGGCCAGGAGCGGTTTTCCCCCCCGTTTTCCTTTAAGGTCCCTCAACTTATAATCTTTTGAAAAGTTTCCAGAAACATCTCATGTGCATAAAATATCAGAATTTGGGGTTTGGGGGAAAAGTTTTATCCACTCGACTTTCTTCTAAGAAATTGACCAATTGGCTGACCACAGGCAAACGAGGCAAACAAATAATTATAAATTGCCCTGGCAAGGACATCAAAACGATTTAATCCCTACACACGCACACAAACTATGGGCAAGCGAAGCTATTTAGGTGACTGCAAAGGATTACTCAAGTATCCTTCTCGGCCTAGCAAATATTTGTAGTCTTTTCTCGACTTTTTCGATGGAATAAATTGTGTGATTGTTTATTTATAGGCAGCCTGCTCATAATTTACTTATTAAAATGATTTTGAGTGATTTGGGTATTTAGGAAAATTAAAATTTCAACAGACCAAAAGTTTTAATAACCCGAACGGACACATGAGCAGCAGCTGGAAAAGGGATGATTGTGGGGAAAGGGTTCGTCTTAAGCCAAGTGAACTGTTGGGAAATTTGCTTATCATTGCTTGACCAGTGCAAAAAATCTCAAGGATTTTAAGGGTCTTAAGTAGGCTTCCCTTTGCCATCGTGTGTATGTTCATGGGTGTTTGCAGTGGGCGGTGTTCGGCAAGGAAGAGTGACCGGAAATTAAGCAATAGTCTTAAGGAAATTGCCACAAGTTTTTCCTTCACTTCACGCCAGCAAACAAATTTCCAGCTTCCTTTGGGATGTATGTGTGTGTGCATTTTTATTTACACTTCAACTTAAGTCCTACTTAATTGCAAACTCTTTTTAGTAGAATTTTTAATGCGTGCATTTTAATTTATAATGCCTCGACAGCTCTCGGAGTTTCAGCTTCAGCAGCATTCGGAGCGACTTAAGAACTTTCCCCACACAAAGGGAAGTACGCACACACACACGCATGAGCCTTTCACTTGGCTGGCATCTCACACCTTTGGCTGCCTGCACATATCCTGGCCTTAGTCCCTGCGCTTTCCCTGATTTTCCTGCTCGCCCCCTTTCCCCGCTGCTCCCTGACCCGCTGCACTTTCAAAAGAAAAACAAACATATTAAGCAGGACAATAAAATGAAAATCGGTTTGCGTCTTGCCTCGGGTCTTTTCTGCTCCCCTGCCGCAGGACCCAGGAAAAACAAGCTGCCTAAGAATTGCCCTTGCCTTACGGAATAATGAATACCTAGGAAATTAAAGATTAGCCATTGAAAAGCCTTGCGGGATTGCCAATTAGTTTGGATCTTTTAGGTATTACTGAGGTAATAAAGAATGATTGTGAATTCTCATTCATTCATTCATTAAAAATGTATAATCAATATAAGGTTGGTTTTGTTGCAGCAATATCATAAAAACATTAGTAGAATATTATCGTTGAAATGTATATATTTCTAAGTTTTGGAAAATGATTTTCGAATATTTCTCTTTTCATGAATCTACTGCAGTAGATTTTATTTCAAAATAGCATTGGTACAAGAAATCATGTATTTTATCGCCTTGCTTTCTCTCCCAGGATTACGAATCGCCTTTGTTGTAAGTCGAGGGTCTTTGAGCTGCCTCTTGGACTGATCTTTCACCCCCATAAACACTTCTGTTCCGAATCAGAGTCAATGCTCTTCAGCACTCCGAGTTCGAGTTCGAGTTCCACTTGTGCACATGCGAGAAATCTGCACTCTGCATTTGAGTTGGCCCTCTTCCTCGTGGCCTTTTTGCTCTGAGTCAGAGGCGTATTTTGAGATTTGTACTTTGGCTTTTTTTGTGCCGCCTTATTTGTAGTCGTGTGTTTTTTGAATGGGGCTTTTGGGGGGCTGGGAAAACATGTTGAAACTTTTAAGCGGATTATAATTAATGCCGTGAGGCATTTTCCTTTTCCTTCTTTTTATCGCTGACTGTTCGCGTTTAGCGCCCCCGAATCGGCGAACAAATCGAAATCCGCCCAGTCGGATATAGCCGGAAATCAGGAATCCTTTGACTCGCCATCTAGCTCTCCTCCAATTACTTCGCAAACGGAGTCCTCGGAGTGGGGGAGGCCGTAAATGTTAGTCAAAAATAATCCTAATGAAATAAGTATGGCCCGTAGCGGTAATTTATTTGAATCCTTTGCCCAACCCTTAAGTTCTCAACTGCTAAATTGGCCTCGGCCCCATGGCTTAGGCTTCGGAATTGTCTCAAGTTTTGTTTTTGTTGCGCAATAAATTCATTTTTTGTCCTTAGACATATAAAACTATGCAAAGGGCTAATGTGTGTGGGTGTCTGTGTGTGTCTTGGACTTAATCCTTTTTGTTGTTTGCTTCATATGTTGATTTGGGACCATCATCAGGTGAGCTTTCTTTTGCCGGCAAAAACGACAGGGGCAAAACCTCAGACGTAGCATTCGAAAATCTTTGCAGGACTCACACACACATGGGCAGAGCCAACGGCAGGACTCTAGTTAGTTTCAGGTTGTGAATGGATTTTCTTAAGTGGTTCTAAGCTTTGTCTGTGAAGCAAACCAGAAAACATGCTTATACATGCGGCCAAGTGGCTGAAGAGTTCAAGAGTCCAGCCGTCCAGGAGTCCATGAGTCCACGGAGGGGAAGTCCAAGGAAAAAGGACTCTAGTGGCATTAGCAGGCTGCTCAAGGAGCTGCAGCACTTCATTAGTTTTGCGAATTTGCGGACAGGGACCCTGAGACAATGGCCAACTGCGAGGCCAACGATAATTGAATGCACAGGGGGTTGGGCTGCTCGAGGCGAGGCAAAGCCATGTGCCGAGGACAAATCCTTACAAAAGGATTATGATGTGTATTTTTCGGCCAAATGACTCTCAGCTCTCGGGCAAATGCCAATGCCCAGTTATGCAATCGTATCGAATCGAGAGCCATGATAAATTGATGGCAGCCAGATTAAAACGAGTCCAAGAAGTGAATAATTAAAGCGCAAAGAATGTCGAGAGCTCTGGGTTCTCCGACCCGACGATGCAAATAAGCAGACATTTTTGTGGAACCGGATTAAAATTATGAACTGCAGGATAAGGCCA